TAATCAGTTCAGTACATTATAGAGTAGATTAAGGTGTCGAATATTGTCTGGATAACGGAAAAGTTGACACTTTTCTTGAAGAATGTTCATTGTGAATACTTAACTGGTTACATTTTGGGTTACAACTCCCCTATTTCAACCCAATACATATTTTATAAGATTTTGTGAAAAGCAGAGGTATATCTGCGGTATGGCAGGTAGGGCACGTGCCATGGGTTCCACTTGAAGGTCGTTCCACTTAAGAGTTACTGGTAGTAAATGCAGGCAGGGAAGGTGCATGTCATTTTCATGTAGTGCCATAATTTGTTAAACATACATTATGCAAGAGCTAAATCTGTCTATTGCAGGTCTTTCTTTAGGCCTGAAATGTTATCTAACTTATTAATTAGACATTAATTAACCTATCCAGACCATAATCAACTCTAGATGGCATCACTAGCCTGCAATCTTTAGTGCATTATGAGCCGATTTACTGCAAAACTTTCCTTCATGATTTAACGATTAAATGGATAATCTAGACAATGCTGTTTATCGTACTGACTTTAGTAATGATGATCGAGGATAGGCAGAAATTTCAATCGCTTAGTTCTCGGTTCATAGTGGATCAAAATGAATGAAACTTTCAGCAAATTGCCTTTACATTATCTGGTTTTTAACTATTCAAATCTCCCATAATGTATCTTTAATTAAAAGATTAATGAAATTGACTTGTATTTTTTTTTGCTGCTTTTATGGTAAAGATATCTAAATAAAACATAAATGGGTGTCCGATGTTTAGACAGGGGTGCAATTCATTCCAGTGCTTATAAAATCAAATAAACGAATATTGTGCCACGTTCACTGTAAATTGAATAATCTAGTTTGTTAACTTTTTTTTTAATAAGGAAACAATCAATAACTGTTCACATTTCTTTTAAATGTTAATTTTATTTACTCATTACCAAAGCTACTCTTTCATAGCTATACTAATAATTAATGAATAGGAAATCATTAAGAATCAATAATACATGAAAACTGACATGCAAAACAACTGAAGCAAAGCACAGATGATGGTCAATTAATGCCATAATGGTCAAATTATCGAGAGTTAAAAAAATAAAAATCGAATGTTTTAGAAAACAAAAACGTCATAATCATAATTGGAAAAATATACAAACTGTTAATAATATACACAAGATCAAAACAATGAATAAATTGATGGGTAGTTGAAATGATTTTATAAAGCAATAAATAGATAATACATAATGAAGCATCCAACAACACAGATCGCATGGGCCTTGATCCCCAATCAAACAATTGAAACTTAGTTGACAAGGCTATTGATCTGCTATCAAGTTATCCATTGGTATTTTTCTGTTATATCATGAACAACAAAAGTGATGACAAACTCACAAACTGGAGAAAAATGTTTCCATTGATAAAAAGTCATTTTTCATGCACAAATTTAACAAGTGATATATCATTTCTTTAAAATGCATTTCATAAAAAATAAATTTATAACACTTAAGTTAAGAAATACTGTATAAGAATGAATAACACCTGAATTTACACCCACCTAAAAAAAAGCTCCAAAAAAACCAACTTTCAAACAAGTAAAACAATACTAAAAACTGTATGAAGAAAAATTGAAGACATGGTGAATATAACATAAAATGTTATTTTTCCAGGTAATATTAGTAAGGTAATTATCTTTGTATTTAACAACTAAGGTAAGAAAAAGATCTTACCATGTTGTATAAGAATGTATAAGATTATATGATTTCTAATATAAATATTATTAGTAAAGTTATAGACTGATCTAGATTGAGGTTAATCAAACAAACGTTTGGTTCCCAGGGCAACACTTTAAACTGATATGCCTACCTAACAACCTTTATAATATTTATATCTATAAAAGCTTACATTACTTAACTTTACAAAATCTTGTCTTCAGATCATTAATATAGATCACAATAGAAGTATTAGAACCATTAATTGTTACTATTCAATAATTTCATATTATTCACATAAAGTATGGGTCAAACACTCAGAAAAACTCTAAAAATATAGGATTGTTTGCTTATTGTTATTTTGTGCATGTGTTGACATTTGGAATAATCATTTAATAAAATCTTGTGTCATAAAGTTTAAAAGGTATCAAACATATACCTGTTGCCCATGACAACCCGTATTTATAATCTGAGCTAAATTCAACATAATATCATAACATTATTTATATTATAATACCTATTTCTAGATGAATATCAAATATATTAATGTGTACTTAATACTTATATTACTGAATTTATGATTGATATTATTCAACATGCCTACACTAGATTCCTAGTAATATGGGCTTTTAGTCATGAATTCATAACATTTGCAAAATGAGCCAAGCTATTCTGCAAGTCACACCATTCAAACTGCTGCAAAATATTTGACTTTCTCCAGCTTTGTTGATGAATATTGTGCATACTGATATTTTTTTTTAAAAATTTTCTCAGTATTTGCATTATGATTTTGAGACTCTTCACAGGTATTCTGATATCTGGTTCAAAAGACTGTAAATAAATACATAGTAAATGGAAAGCTTAATGAATGCAATTCACTAGAAATGTAAAAAAATATTATGTAAAACTGTTTTTAAAAGCCTGAAAAAAAAGGCCAAACAAATTGATCACACTAATGGCACACATTACTTGTACATAGAACCTCTGTTCCTAAAACAGGATCTAGCTTGTAGTCTTAATCGGTCAGTCTGCATCAAACCCCTTCTCTTTACATGTATTTGTTGCTAGTAGAATGATACTCTGGATTTGGATTTCAGAAGTGGAAGAACATACTGGTGCTATGACCACTTATGTTGTTATTTAATATTTAGTTCAATCTTACCCATATTATTTATGGTGCAATTACTTGTTTTGCTTGATAACAAATTTAAACTTCAGTAAAGATTAATTTAAAAATATAACAATTAAAATTGGTGATGCATCACTGTCCTGTATTCTACAATTTATAATAAGTAACCTTATTAAAATTGCAAATTAAAAAACAAGAGTAAGACTACTTATATAAAACTGTTGAGTTGTCAATAGCACAGATATTTTATTCCAGACAAAATATCACAAAAGCTCAATAAAACAACAAACAAAACCACAACAAAAAAAAACCCAGCAAAAAGCTAACACTTAATTGAAATTGATTACTTTGAATAAAGGAATATTTAGCTCAAGTCAATCAATATATTCAATTATTGTTGGCAATATCATTTCTCATCCAGTTTCATCTTTTAGTTATAGCGTATCCATGACGATGGAAATTGGTTTCTAAAAACAATTCTAATGGTGAACCAAGAGAATAAAGAAAGATATTGACTGCGTAAAATAAACAATAAAAATAAACAATACCTTTTATTACTCTTTATTCAAGTTGTTGCTTGTATTAAGACTACCTAGGCCCTGTTACTATAGAAACCAAAATAACTAAACTTGAAATGAGACCTTTAGATCAATATCAGGTAAAATAAATCTTTAACAGAAAGAATACTTGAAATTATTATACTATTTATAAACAGTCTAACATAAGTGGTTTAAAACATAAAGATTGAGCAAGGCAACTTTCTTCGAGTCAGCAAATCGTTATAAATAAAACTGATGGATTTTTGTCAATATTGTCAAGCTAAAACCTAAATATTGATATTGAACACTTGGTAAATGAAGAATCAAATACATTGAAGGAAATCAATTGATAAGTAATTGTTTAGTTCTCAAATACATTGTGTAGATTCAAAAGACAACGAGAAAAAAAGTAGAATACAGGTTTTAACATAATTAAATTTAAAGTTTTACACAAAAAAAAAAAAAAAAAAATCATCACAAAATTCAAGACAAACCTTCCATGGTGAGCAATGCAAGTATTTGTAAATATTTTTTAAAAAATGACAGTAAAAAACCCTGGAGCTATGTAAATAGTAAAAAAAAAAAGGGTTAAAATCTATCATTTCTAGAAGTTATATATTCCAATGTCCATTTTGTACCTGGTCTTTGCCAAGAGGAATAAGCTTATAAATAATATAATCAATTTGTCTAGTTTTTAGTTAGCCCATAACTGGATCTACTTTGGCCTAATTTTATTTGGCACAAAATCAATAATTTGATCACTGTCCAGATAAATATGGTTACTATGATAAAACGCCCCTTTTTACAATCAAATTATCCTGTCAGAAAATTTACACAACCAAAACAATTCTAACTTAAACCATACATTTAACATTGTTGAAATTCCACAACTTTCAACAAATATGATCAAACTGTTTCTATACCATACTGGTACCTTAATTTTTTTTCAGGAAAAAATCCTTTTTTCAAATTTTTCATAATATGCTAATTAACTAACACTTAATCAAAATAAAAATGAACAATAATAAAGAGTCTGCTAATATATAAATCACATTTTGTGAACTAAATGAGGGAAATTGGGAGTTTTAATAAAAATGACACCAAAATTGTGCTTTGCCTTAAAAATTAAAAATATAAAAAAAAATGAAAGGTGTAGCGTACCGTATATTAAACGACAAATTTTACCTTTAGATAACTAAGTGGAGTAGTTTTCATTAAAATATATACATATATAAAGCTATCTTTGTGGCTTGTCACTCGATCTTTGGACCGTATCAAGATAATAATGATATTTTGGGATGAAAAGCACGAATTTTGCACGAAACACAAGTCAACCTTCTTATGAATTTTTTATGCGCTTGAACATTGATTTGAACAAACTAGATAAAGCACGTCAGAGAAGATAACGTCCCCAATATTTTAATTCATGAATTAATACGTTATATTCAATTTCAATAAACTTTGATAAAGTTAAAAGACATAAAATATTATTTTACCTCAACTTTTTATTGATGGATGTCTTCTGCTAGTCTCGTGTATTCTCGTGTTATTTTACGTAATCTTTGCTGTCACGGCTTAAAAATGTTCAATTTCAATCAATTAATCTTCCACAATTGTTAGAAATAATGCTAAAAGTTCACTTTTACACAAAACCGACTTTTCTCGTTTTTAAAATGAACATGAATGAACACGGCACGAGCTATTTGATATTTTGGGGCAAAATCGTATCTATGGTAACGGACGCCATATTGGATGTCAACACTTCGCATTGTAAACAAAGTCAAAGATTTTGTAGACGACAGCGTTTGATCATTACATTTTACAAATACTTTCTACATAATAAAATAAAAAAATGTCGTCGGAAGAGGAAACATTTGAGGAGGAAACTGGAGAAGAAGCTGAAGAAATGATGGAGGAAGAAGAACAACAGGTTGAAGGAGAAGAGGGGGAGGGGCAGGAAGAAAGGGATTCTGAAGAAGTTGAGGAAGAAGAGGTGATTATATATTTTGTTTGAATTCAGTTTAAGATATGTATGATCACTATCAATCTATCATTTGATGTGAATAAAATGTTGTCGGTCGTCCGTTCGTTCTTGGGGTTTAAGGTCCCAAATTATGGCTAATGCTGTTTTTATAAAAAAAATTATATTTGTAATATTGGGAGTGGGAGTAGATCATGATAATCATGACATGGTGATGTTGGTGTTTTTGATCTCATGAGCTTGACAATATTATTATTAGTCCGGTTGGTGCAGGAAACAACATTTCAAATTACAATAATAAATCGTAATTGGTCGATGATGCTCACTGGTAATTTCGTGTTTATTAATAATATTAATATTATGGTGGGCCTAGGATATTAGGCCTTTATATATTATGAGAGGTGACAAATTATACAATAAATGACTTTTGTAGATATATCTGTTATTGTGAGTGCCGTTTTATTTTTGAATATCATTCTTTACCAAGTCCCCTTTGATGGATTTATGTTCAGGGGTGGGGAGACAAGAATCTGAATCATACGTCCCCTTTTGGGAGGGTTGGGGCAGAGCCATTTTAGAATTTTCAATATATGAATTATGTTTGATTAACGCAGTTTCCGCAGAAATATCCTCCCCAAACAATTTTTTGGGGATGAAATAACCAGGCTGACAAATGACACAGTCTGGTTTTAGGTTAATTAACACTTCTTGATGTTAACCTAATGTACCAGTATTAAATTTTGAAATTGTTTTAATATTCCAGGGCCCACCTGACAATCCAATAACAACAGAAATTGTGTCTGAAAGTTTGTCTTTATTATGCAAAACAGGAGATGGATTGGCACACGCTTATGTTAGACTTGATGTTCATGAGAGGTACGGTACTTAAAGTAACTAAGTCTAACTCAATATCATCCAAAGTCTTCGACATTGAAAGCACAAATTCTTTGTCAATTTAAATCAACACAATCTGATTAAAATACAGATCTATATTTTGTTTTTTTATACTTTCGATGGCCTACACTACATGAAGATCTGACCAGTTGTACTGGAAGGTCACACCAGGGGTCATACGAGCAGATTTTGACCCTGTGACATCAGACATTGATTAATCAATCAGTGTCTACTTTTTTTAGTGGTTTACCCACAGTTCCGCGCATGGCACGCCAAGAAGTCGCTGGAACAGATGGTTTCATTGGCTAATCCCTTACGCCATCCATAATGCCTGTTATATAACAACTCTTCCAGATCCTAGTGTAGTACAGACAAGTAAAATGAAATTTTGAAGTATAAAAAACAAGACGAAATAGGATTTGTGTTTTAATCAGATTGAAATCAATATTGATGTGATCTTACCAGGAAAAGATGGGCTTCTGATATCCAATATTTAAGACAAAATAAACATTTTACCATTGGTACACAATTTGTGTACCATAATGCGTTTCAGCATTATTTGTAACAAGGGACTCGAAGAACGAGGCTAGACATATTCCACAAGTCATGTTAAACAGTGGCGCCATATTCTTATCTGGAGAGCATACAAAGTAAATACTACCGCTGTAGACTGGAATAACCAGACACTAGAGATTGCCATTCGACTGAGACTTATGGCATATAACTGATTAGAAATTATAGTAAAATCAGAAACAATTGAATGTGAATCAGTTTATATACAATCATATTACATCGTTATATGCATTGCGACCCATTTCTAGGTCACAAATATTAGCCACTTAGCTTCTTTAAATACCGGTGGTCTTATTTAGTTTAATTAGAGCGTCCTGGAGCAGCTTATTAGCAAGAACACTCAGTACTATACAAATTTATTATTATTATTAATTATTAGAGCTTTCTTAATAATTACTGTCTTTGACTCTTTCAGACCATGCCCTCTCTCACCCTTTTTTTTGGAGGAATTTTTCAATTGAATGAAACATTATTCTTTAGTATATTGGGCTTACCTGTAATTCCAGTTTAATGGAATAGATCAGTTGTTTTATCAACTTAATATATAGAGTTGTAAATTATAATGGACAGTGATTGCCTGATTAATCAACATTGATTAAGGACCTGATTAATTAATTATGGGTCCTTGTGTTGTTTTAACAATCAGACTTTAGACCATAATCTTGTTGATGCAAGAGAATTGCATTGTCAAAACACTGGCTGATCTGATTATGGAGCCCAATTATCTCCCAAAACATGTATTAGCTGGCATAACAATTTTATAAGTCATTGTTTTAATAATAGTTAAAAACTGTCACATGCCAGAAATAAGCATGTTATTTTACTGAATATATTAGGCAAGATAATTTTTTAACACATAGCAATATAAATGTCAAATGTTTTTATTTCAAAATGGTGTTTTTTTGCATATTTTGTGTGAAATAGCTTTTGTTTCTATTTAAATTTTAAATCAAAAATTTAATAAGTTTTATACAAAGAGTCATTACTGTAGCTTTACGTTTCTCAGCCTTGTTTGTGTAAATTTGAATAAAATCTTGGATGTGAAATAACATAAATATTCTACGACTACAAGTTTTATTATTTATTGTTGTTTATTTCAGAGAAATAACAGATATCAGTATTTTAAAGAATTATATTCATCTACGATATATTGATGTCAGTAAAAACAGTCTAAAAGATATATCACCACTTAGTTCATTAACTCATCTACTGACTTTAAAAGCTGACGAAAATTTATTAACGAATGCCCGCCTGGAAGAAATGCCATTTTTACAAACTGCCAGTTTTAATCATAATAAAATTCAATCAACTGAAGGTGTTAGTCATCCAATGTTAGAACATTTATCATTAAACTGTAAGTTTATTTATCATACTTTTGGAACTTAAGAATGGGGAATTTCAAATTTAATATTCACCCTCCTGTAATGAGGCTCTCGGATTATAACAACAATTTTAGGTCTCCTTCACATGTTTTCTTGTTACATGTGGCACGGTTCCCTGGCACTTAGAGTAAAATAAAAGTAGACAGTCTTTTCGTCTCCTTGTACAATTGTTAGTTTGTGTTCAATTAAACATACATTATGCAAGAGCTAAATCTGCCTATTGCAGGTCTTTCTTTAAGCCTGAAATGTTTTCTAAATTATTAATTAGACATTAATTAACTGATCCAGGCCATAATCAATTCTTGATGGCATCGGATTTCTCTGATATTACATAGATTGAACAGTTCAGCCATATTTTGATTTAAGCTAAAAATGGAGGAGCGAGACTTAGCTTCGAACAACCAGTACAGTGGTTGCAATTATTGTACACGTGTTGTCAAACTGTCAAAGGCTAATATCTTTGCTCACAATAGAGTAATTGGAATGAAAATTCAAATTATTCATTTTACATTATCTATTTTCGAACTATTATAGCAGGAATGACTAGCTCTTTATCTAAATCTTACATAATGTATGTTTAATAACAGTATAATTCAGCCACTGAAAATATCCTCTTCCTTTGGCAAAATTTCCCTCATCATAGCACACTGTATGACGTCTGCTCGTTTTCATTAGCCTAGTCGGAGCAGAACACTAGGACGTTAAACCCCATTTCATTTCATTTCCGCATTTTGGTTCAAATCAAACTTCAAAGAAAACAGGTAACCAGCAAATATTTAGATCTTATGTAGCTACAATTTATCTATCAGAACAAACTTAATCGTAGCACTTACCTTTTAAGTTTTTTGAATAATGCTAATTTGTTACGAAGCAAATTTTAATATAAAATGAACAACACCTGATTATGATTTATGGCAATCATACCACATATTTCAAATTGAAATTGCAATATTATGAGTTTACATATTGAATTGTAGTTCTTGCCAAATTTTTATTATATTTTATTCAAACAAGCAGTCTATTTAAATACATTAATTTTATAATCACAATTTATTATTATAATTAATTGCTAAAATATGTTAAGAATGACATATAGACATGTAAACAAAAAACATGTTAACTTTATTGACAGATTAATTGTTCATTTTTTTAAATAAGTTAATTTATTTGGGTATGATAAAATTTATTTATTAAAATTGAATGGCCAATAAAATTTAATGAAGAAAAAGCTTACTAACCAAAAGAAATCAGTAGCTGAATTGCCCCCAATATATATGTTTATACAAAATATCATAAATATAAGTATTAAACTATTATGAATGATACAATTGTTTATTCAATCTGAATAAAATCAGATGGATTTTGGTTTGTGTTCTTTCAGATATTTCATCATTGTATCATGTTTTTATTTGTATACTATAATTAGTCAATGAAAACATTGATGTTCCAATGATGCTAAGACATTGTCACTCCATGAAGTCTAATATCTGTTGGACAGCTTTCATTCTGTTTTAAAGATCTTATGTACAGTGTAGAAAATCAGAACCATAACAGATAGAACCCCAAAACGACAATTGTTTTTAGATTGTGTTATATTTTTCAGTTAATCAGATATCAACTGTTAGTGGGTTAGATGCATCAAAACTGAGTCGACTCCATACGTTAGAATTAAGAGGCAATCGTCTAGAAACATCTGATGGTATTTACCTTCCAAACCTGAAAAATCTTTTTTTGGTAAGTCATGTTTTGATTAAATTCGAATCCTTTCTTTGCTGCCTGTCAACTTAATCAGATAGATCTCAAGTGACAAGTTTCCAAACTGAAAGCAGCAATAGTGTCTGGAGAAACTGACCATTATGTGGTTGTCACATTTATCAGGTCACACATAACATGTAAACAATATGCCCAAATTCTGTTTGAATTATCTAAGTTTTATTCTCATACTTAAAGCCACATGTATCGGTGTGTACCTTGTGAAATTAGTCACTGTTCCCTTTAAAAGTTTTTATATACATTAATAACATTGGTTAAATTAAATTTCAGGGAGCTAATGTTATTAAAAAATTAGAGGGATTATCAAGATTAAGTGGTTTATCTACAATGCATCTACGAGACAATCAGTTGGAGAATCTAGATGGTTTTACGGATGATCTGAAGGTTCTACAATATATTAACCTGCGGTAAGAATTTAATTGTTCCCTTTTGACTGAAGGATGATTTATACAGAACTAACAGTAATAATATCTCCCAGTGACTTGTAAAAAAAGAGGTACCATTATTCATGACAATTTGCATAAGATATAAATTTAGACAAGTAATAAACTGCTCTTTATTATTCTGGTGAAAATAATATATTTTATGTAATTCATGTCAGACATTATCAGAATTGCTAATTTTTTTACACAATAAAATATCAAGCTACAAATAAAATTACTTCTGAAAAGGATAATAGCCTATATTGAAATAATAATTTTTTTATTTTTGTGTCAAGATGAAGTTTATGTCCTATTTTGCACCAACAGAGCTATTGCTTTTCTTAAAAGCTCTATAATTTATTTTTAAAACATCATATGTAAACTTATATTATTGTAATTTCAGTGGTAATAATATTGCTAGTGCTAAAGAAGCCGCCAAATTAAAATCTTTACCAATGTTACGAGCTCTCGTCATGTCAGGTAAGTTTCCCCCATATCCTTCTTGAGAGAAAGAAAAATATCCCTTTGAACAAAGTCTAGATTTTATTAGGCTTAGCATGATTACTAGCTCCTTACAACAAAACAGCCACACCCAGAAATAAACTTATTTTAGCAAAAAATCATCATTAAGGACCTGATTAATAATTTATGAAAACTCTTGCCACAATTTAATTAGGTAAACCCCAGACATCAATACTTGAGGATTGTATGCTGAATTGTTTAGGTAGATGGGTGTATTAAAGATACTTTCCCTCGTACAGACTGTATGATTTGATGATATATTTAGACTAAAATAAAAACATATTCAAACTAATTAATCTATTAAAAATTTGTGTCAAATCCCCCCTCAATCCTTTGTATGTGGGGAGATTCCTCAAGCTCTAAATAAACTGATGTTAAGAGGCCATGTCTCTACTTTCCATTTATACCAAATTTGTCATACTTTTATAGGATATATCCACCCGATAAATACTTTCAGGACAATGTACCTTTAAATGCAGTTGGTACTTACTTCAATTCACTATGAATGGCGACCATGCAGATGATGTCAATTGCTTTCGACATTATATTCAATCAGATGGCCAACCGTAGTTCATTGGCTGATCAACTCTGATTGCTGTGCCATTTTATCATTAAGGCTATGTAACACAGATCAATTGTACCCTTGTACATAGAATAGACAAACAATTGTAACATTAATATAAAGCTTGAAATTAGGCCTGAGACTAATGTTAACATCAAAACCTTATAATATAACTAAGTTTAAATTTTAATTCAGAAAATCCTGGAGCAGAAGAGGATGATTATCGTTTAGAAGTTTTAATAGCATTACGTAAACTTGAGAGACTGGATAAAGATGAATATACAGAGGAAGAGAGGACGGAAGCTGAAGAGATTTATGAACATCGTAGACAAGAAGAGGAGGCTAATGAAGGGGTATGTATTTAAACAATGACCACTTAATGAGAGTGGAATGCACAAGTTGCTAATCCAAGCAAGGAAAAATGTCAAAAATTTGATATATTAGTTCTAAAAGTTTTTTGATAAATCATCATAAATAATTCAAACCAAGAAGTATTTCTTCCTGATTAGTTGGGAATTAGGATAATGACGGGATTAGATGGTCTATGTTAATTTTTATTCTAAGTAAAATAGATGTGTAGGCCTATTTTAATCTTATATTAAAGCAGTCATTTGTATTTTTGGGACAATATCTAACTTTTTAAGGCTTAATTAATCAACACTAAAATGTACTGAAAAAGATTATTTAACATTTAAGAAACAGAACCAAAATATCAGGGGTAGATAATTTTCCGACTTGGATTAAATGAGATTAAAATGAGTGGCAAATGTTCTGAAATTCTCAATTCATATCTTTGTTAAAACTAAAGGAATTGAACCATTTGTAGACTCAGATAGAAATGTTATAATTAAGGTAATTGAGCTTTATAAGACTGATCCAGATAATGGCAAAAACGATGCCACTAGAAAAGCCCATGAATTCAAATGGAGTCACCCTTTAAGAACTTTCTCACTGGATGGCATTAACGATAAGATATAGAGAACGAAACTAGTCGCTTACAGAGAGGAATCTGGCAAGGCTATTTGCTACTCAGCAGATTTTTAATTCCTTTTAGAGATTCAACCTTCACATTGTTGTAGTCTGCAAGGGATTTAAAATCTCTCAAACTACCACGAGCTGCTTTAATAATTTGAGAGTAATAAGACCTATTAGAATACTAGACTAATTTTAACACTTGTGAATAATTGTATTATCTAACAACTGTAGAAATCAAAATGATTGTCATTCATTTTATGATTTTATCTATTTATTTTTTCCTAACTGTAAAGGATCTTGGTAATATATATACATGTTATATCTCATATAATATTATTTGTATTATGTATTCCCTATATATAATATACTATATATATTATACTTTAGATAGTAATTCCTGCATATATGTATATATATATATTCCTTTCTAGATGAAAAATTATTATAATCTCCTCCATATACTCAAATTTCGCTGTAGTTTCTATTTTACCTCTCTACTATATGAAACACCATAGGACATAGAATAGCAACAAATCTTGTTTCAAACATGTAATTTGATAGCATGCTCCAATGTCTTAGTTTTTTTTACGGTAGACAGAAAAACTCAAGAAAAGTATTATTCAGATAGTGATTTAAAAGATAAAAACAAAATGTTTTTGCAGTCAACTATAATTCAGACACTCTTGTACAGAAGTATAGATTTTGAAAACAGTAGAAACTAATGTGTTGTTTTTTTGGGGGGTGGGGTGGGGGTGGGATAAAAGTACTTCTGATTGTGTATGGTCTTAAACTCCATATTTTGCATTTTATTCTTGCATTTTTTAATTTTCATGATCTTGATATTAAATGAAAGGGACTTCTATTGTTTTTTCGCAAATTAATTAACTATTAAGTTGATTGGTTAAAATGTACCTTACACTGAAAGATGCATTTTGCAAGATAAATCTGCCTACTGCAAGTCTTTTTTCTGGCTTCAAATGTTATATAAATTATTATTTAAACATTTATTCACATGACAAGCCCATCATCAACTCTGTAGACCATTGGATGACAGATGGTTTAGACCATCTGTACAATATAATCATTTAATGTTAATAATCAAGACTGTTTATTATAATGGCAATGGTTTTTGTCTGAATTCAAGCTTAAAGTAATTTGACTGAAATTTCCAATATTCATTTTTTATTATCTATTTTTGAACTATTATAGCAAGAGCATACTGCATCTTTATGGTTGAGTTACCACATTCAATGTAAATCACTCCGATGGCAAATTCATTGCAGAGAAATAAGGGAGCTAATAATTTAATTTATAAAATTTTTATTATAATTTTCTTACTTGATTGTAGAATGAAGAAGTTATTCAATCTGGTGAAGAAGATTAAGATGATCTGTCCATACTGGAATCACAATCATAAGGCACCAGCAAAAAGAACAATATGTCAGCATTCAACATCTTTCAATACTAATCACTGAAACATTGGCTTTTAATTTTAAAACTGTTAAAAAATATATGTGCAGATTCATCGATTATAATTTATTTTTATAATTTTGACATTTAAATCGTATTGGGTTGCCAAAACAAGACCTTTACAGCATTATCATGGTGCTGATACCAGGTTCATCTGTTCGGTTATATTTCTATCACTTGTACAAGGTAATAATTATGCAATACAGTCTTTCCGTTTTGACCTATTACATTGTATATTCAAATTATGTTAAAACTGTTCTTTCATTTTTCCCCTGTTGTAAACAATTACATGTAGTTCATTTGGAACAAAATATATTTAAAATTTTTAATTAGTTGTCATGGTCTGTTATTGTAAATATACATTTATTTATACAGTATTATTATATTTTGTCTTATGATGTAAATTACTGTGATATTTTATTAATAAATCTTTGTCCATATACTTACTTGGCTTTTATTGATTCTTTGCATTTTGTATGTTGTCAAAATTTCTGTCAACAATTTCAATCGGTATAGATCTAATGCCAGTACTGTTTGTACTTGTTGTTCTTCAAAAGAGTTTATAGGAGAGGAGGGGATTGGACATTTCAGTTTAACTATTTAAACATGCATTATGCAAGAGCAAAATCTGCTTATTACAAGTCTTTCTTTGGGCCTGAAATGTTATCTAAATTATCAATTAGACATTAATTAACTTATCCAGACCATAATAAACTCTCGATGTCAAGGCTAGCCTTCGATGTAGGCTGGATTAGATTCCTATATGCCGCTAACAATCAAAGATAATTAAATCAGAAAAAGTGGATAATCGAGACTATGCTGTTTATATTAATGATTTTAGTAATGATAACCGAGACTATGCAAAAATTTCACAGGCTTCTTTCTCGGCTCATAGTGGATCAATTTGACTGAAATTTTCAGCAAATTACCTTTACACTATCTAGTTTTTAACTATTATAGCGAGAACTGCCATCTCTTTATCTTATCTCCCATAATGTATCTTTAAGTAACAAGCATGTAACTTGACTTGTGCAAGGTCGTATAAGGCACACTTGAAACAGCACAGAAATGTCTTGGTAAAGGAACGTGGTCGAAATGGTTTTTCATCCAGTATCATTTCTAACTTGTTTATCCACAACTCGCTAGTCAGATTTATCATAAACAGCTCAATTCCGATTAGTTGAGTGATGTGATTGTTAATGACAATAAAATAGAATATTGGCATCCCCCCTACCCCCCCAAGCCTTTGTACCTCATTTTAGTTTATAAATGACAACTGCCGAGTTAAAGATGCATTACGTAAAAGCTAAATCTGCCTATTACTGGGCCCTGTTTCTCGAAATCTTAACTAAAGATAAAATCCAAATTTTAGTAGATATTTCAATTTTGATTGGCTAAGCACTAAAATCAATCTAATATTATCCAATCAAATTACTAAAATTTAGATTTTATCTTAGTTAAAATTTTGTGAAACAGGCCCCAGGTTTTTATTTTGGCTTCAAACGTTGTAAACATGTAAAAACTTCAAACAGTGATAACATCCCTCAGAATAAAGTAATTTGAATGAAATTTTCAATATATTAATTTTGAATATTATCTATTTTGTAACTATTGTAGCAAGAACGACCAGCTCTTTATCTAAATCTTACATAATGCATCTTCAAAAAATCATAAATCTCTAGGTTGTACTATATTTCATACTTGAATGGAACCTGTTAGTATAAATCTGTAGATGCAGTAGAAAGGTGGGTGATTTTTTTTAATGAGGAAGATGAAAGGATGACAAAAACTGTAGACAAATATTTATTCACTCATTATTATACATTTTGTACAAATTAAATAATAATTATATTATAAACTGGCTTACTTATATCCTAGCAACTTATGAATAATCTCTAGCACTTTTATATTATATTACAATATCTACTCTGATGTTTCATCACTTTAATCATTTTAACAAAACAAACATTTAATATTTTTTTGATATACCTAATTAATTATAAAAAAGGTATGAAATTCAAGCCTGGATTATACTTGTATCGAATCTTTAAGAGACAAGTTAAAACTTCTAATATATCTGGAAATCTTCAAGGCAAGATAAAACTTTAATGTATCTTTATTTCAAATTAAAACTTCTACCCAGTGCATTACTAAAGAAGCAAGATTTTTAAACATTATTCTCATCTGTGTCTTTTCGAAAACTATATGCGTGATAAATCAAAGGAATTCCTTATAGAATCCTGTCATGAGATTCTATAAAAAGTCTGAATCCGTAATACATTCTGATGTTATTCTACACATGAAACAATCAACATGGACGCCACAATTCACATTTCCACTTATACAGGATCTCCTCCTTCCTTTAACCAAAGTTTATAGATTTACCGAAATAAGCTTGAAGATTGGCTTCACGGAAAGCTTCCGCCACAGTCTAAATAAAAACAAAATAATTTGTCCTATAATCTATGTGCTACATAATTTCAAAACCAGCATTTAAAAATAAAATTTTGCAACCACAATGCAGATGTGGTCTAAGGGGAGATAATATTGTGACAAGGACAACAATACATAGTTATCTCCCTTGACACATGAAATGTATCACATTTTTCGAAAATATCTTTTTTAATTTTGTGAATAAGTTTATAGAAATAATTGCTTTGGAGGGAATAAAAGAAACTTACAGGATGAGCATGACAAACTCTAGCTATATCTTCACATGATGCTCCATATTCCATAGCTAATGCTGCTTCATTAATTAGTTCACCTGCTACCTGAAAACAAAAATTTACCAAACTTTTCATCAGGATACTTCCCTTTCCCTCAATACATGATTCAACTACTAAATTATTACTTCAAAACATATACAATATAATAATTTATTTGCCGCCATATTTTTGAATAGTTACAGTTCAAAATAGGAACACGTCTCACACATATACACCAAGCCTTCACCATGATTTTGTTGGGACCCACAAAGGCCATACAAAAAATCTGATGCGGGAGGGAGGTTTTTATTTTTGTGTTTTCATTTTGTCAAATGATCACTAGTATGCCATATTTCAGGATTCATTAAAAAAAATAATTTTTTAGAGCTACTTCCTGTAACAGGATATAATGAATGAGACAGTTTTTACTTTTTTGAAAGAAAAACAAGTCATGTGACCAATTTTTAGTGATACAGGATTGTCTAAGAACATAAGCCCCCCCCCCCCCCCCCCCGAATGAAAACAAAGCAATAATAGTTAATGCCTAATATTGAGGCTCATGTTTATTTTGGGGAGCTTGAAATAATGTGAAAAGAAGAATACTTACTGAACCAATAATATGAGCTCCTAGTAATCTGTCAGTTTTTTTATCTCCAAGAATTTTAACAAGACCATCTGTATCGTTATTACATTTAGCTCTGCTGTTGGCAACAAGAGGAAATTTACCTACTTTAAACTCTACACCCTGGTGAAAACAAAAGTAACAGATTACATATAGGCATAGTTTTAACTTTTAAGGTGGTATGCAGCTAGTTCTACAGTCAAGATATTGTGACTGAGCACCTGCTAATTTGAAAATCTAGAATTATGTTTTCTGGTTCCAAAATAATCCCTTACGTTATGTAAACAAGCTAGAAGAATCTCAATTAAAAGTTGATCAAGTATAGATTTACTGTTTGAAGCAGAGAACAAGATTGTTTTAAATTATCAATATGCTTTGATGTAATTAATCTATGTATAATAAAGGTATCGTAAAACTCATATTTAATTATATAAAAGTAAATGAAATGAAGGTTGAATAAGTAACAGGAATGGTGGATCATTCTGGGACTAACATGTAGTAACGGTAATTCTATTTCTATAATTCATCTATTACAAACACAGGGCTATTTCAAAGTGCAAGGAAATGGGATAAAGGGTTGATCTACTCTATAAACTATTTTATTAATTAGTAATTTACCTCTTCTTTGAGTTGCTCCTCTGTTTTACCAACCCATGCTACTTCTGGATGTGTATAAATTACAGATGGTACACAGTTATAATCTATATGTACAGCTCCTCCACACATACCCTCTACACATATAATACCTACAATACATTTAAAGATACATCAGTTAAGAGTTTAATAAAGAGTTGGCCATTCTTGCTATAATAATTCGAAAATAGATGATAAAAAAAGAAAATATTGAAAATTTCATTCAAATTACTTCATTCTCAGCCAAGTTATCATTGTTTGTAGTTTTGACAAGATGTGTGCACAGTGGTAACCAGGGCATTGGTATAATCGGGACTTAGCCTCGCTTTCCCATTTTTAAATTAAATTTTTAAATGGCGAACCGTTTTAATCTAGTTAAAATATCGAGTATCCGATGCCATCGAGAGTCGATTATGGTCTTGTTTTGTTAATAAATGTCTAATTAATAGTTTATATAACATTTCAGGCCTAAAGAAAGGCCTACAATAGGCAGATTTAGCTCTTGCATAATGTATGTTTAATATTTAAAGTAATTGATCATCATTGGAGGGATTCTAAATTCCTTTCAAACTACAATATTGAGTTACAAGTCGAGTGTGAAAAATAACGAACCCCCTTAAAAAAAAAAATCAACTTACCCTCATCTTCAGCTTTGTGTGCTAACATAGGACCGGCTATACAATCACCAATAGCATATATACTACAAAAGAGGATCATTACAAATCATTTATATTCTGGAAGGACCTAATTATTGAAATTATAGTTTTATTAGTGAAATAATGATATAATATTTGGAATGGCCATATTATTGCAATGATGATTAGTGGAAAAATGATAATTATTTTACTATTACAAGAATAATGATCTTACTACAAGAATAATGATCTTATTACAAGAATAGTGATTTTATTACAAGAATAGTGATTTTATTACTAGAATAATGATCTTATTACAAGAACAATGATCTTATTCCTTGATGAAGACATCTAAATTGTTACAATAATATGATGTATCTACCTTGGTACTGTACTTTGAAATCGACTATTGACTGGTATTCTACCTTTATTATCAACTTGTAAACCTACACCATCTAGTCCAAGATTTTCCGTATATGGTCTTCTTCCTATACACACTAAAACTGTATCACAGTCAAGCTGTAATATATAGATTAAAATAAATATATATTGCTGTTCTTCTTTGTATACATGACAATACCAGTGTCTTGTCAGTGCTATTAAGGCTGCAGGTCGTCATTTAAGAGATAGTAAATATGTGAAATTTGAATATCTAAAAGCAATTAGTATTTACAACATATGATGACATTTTTTAAACCAGCCAGCACCACAGGTAAACGTTGGGTAAAGTATTTTCAATCCAATTGAATCCACCCCTGGAGATTATCTACTTTTGATATTTTTCTCCTTAAAGCGGCACTATGGAAGATCCATAGATAATGTAAAGGGAATATGCTGAAATTTCAGTCAAATTATTTCACTCTGAACCAAGAAATTCTAATTTTAATAACACTGTAGCCTTGATTGTCATTGTTACTGTTGCTACAATAATATACAAAGTCTTGACTATTCATTTTTATGGCTAATCATCAACCATCGTTGAACTGCAGATCGGATTTAAATTTGTCGAAAATCGGACCCACCAGTCAATTATGGTCTTGTCATCTTAAACATACATTATGCAAGAGCTAAATCTGCCTATTGCAGGTCTTTCTTTAGGCCTGAAATGTTACCTAAATTATTAACTAGACATTAATTAACTTATCCAGACCATAATCAACTCTTGATGTCATCGCTAGCCTGCGATATTTACTGGATTATGATCAAATTAGCTGCTGAACTTTCATTCATGATTTAACCATGAAATGGATAGTCGAGACTATGTTTTTTATCGTACCGACTTTAGTAATAACATTTAATCAAGGCCTAAAGAAAGACCTGCAATATGCAGATTTAGCTCATGCATAATGCCTGTTTAATTAACTGTTAATTAATCAATTTCAGTACAATTCAGAATGGCTTAAGCCATGAAACAATTGATATAGTATGAAAATGACGATCAGCACAGCTGATGAAACAAACATAATAACATTATGCTCTCACAAATACTGTAAAAACAGAAAGATGTTATTATAGTCTTTTCCAATATAAGTTACGTTATGTTATGAAAAGTCAAAATATCTAGCATTTGTATTCTTGAAAAATATGTCAAAGGGAGACTACCTCTTCTTGTTTGCCATCCTTGGCTCCTTCAATGGCTACTTTAATATTTTCTCCTTCTTTGGTTGCCCCTGTAACTTTGGTATTAAGTTTAAACTTGATGCCTTGTTTTGTTAGAATACGCTGGAAGTTTTTAGATATTTCCATATCTATACCCATTCCACCAACATGACCTAAAAATTCTACACAGGTAACTTCAGCACCTAATCTTTGCCACACAGAACCCTGAAGAAGAAGGAAAAAAAAGCATAAATATTATAATTATATGAAAACAGTTGGAAAAATAATGCCTGAACTTTATAATTGTACTCATAAAATGGATTATATTTCAACATACATTATATTTCTTATATGTGAAATGCTTGCAAAAAATGTTGTCAGGAAACTACATTTACAAAATGAAATGAAATGGGGTTGAACGTCCTACTGTTTTTCGTCCCATCTGAACGACTAGACAGCTGTCCTTGTCAGGCCCTCCGTCCTGCATCACTGACAAGGGGGAACCACGCCGGAAAATCTGGATGGACTTTTCTCGGCCAATGCAGGGATCGAACACACGAACTCCAGGCTAGCGAGCCAGTGTCTTACCCACTTAGCCACGCGATTCCAACTGCATTTACAGTCCAGCAGGATTGTCCAATGCTGACCTAGCAGGCCAAGTTTTTAAACATTGTAAATTAACATTAATAGATTGTTTATTATTGAAGCCCTGACAAGCCAGAATAAAGGTTATATATGTAGGGTTTAAGACAACAATCAAAAGTACTGTCATTAAAACACTTTTGTCCAAAAAGTAATCAAATTGCTCAATGATCAATTCTAACTCTGGTTATGATTTTTCAAAATTTACATTAATTTCTATTAATTTCATACAGTCTTTTTTTATGTGATTTAGATAATTAAAGTAATGATAATTCTGCCAGCTTATTTTTACAATCCAGGCTATTATTCATGAAGACGTTTAGATTCGGTTGCGCTTAATTACATAATATAACAAAACAACAGTCTTTTACATTAAAATAGCTCATATTGTTTACTTTTAAGATATCTGTTCTCACATATCTATTGTCCTTTCAAAATCTATTTCTACGGAAACTATACAATCTTGCAGGAAAATAATATTAACTGAGAGTATAACATATTTAACTATTTAGTTTCTGAAAATACATTTTTAAAACATGGAAAGCAACTTAAAGATACATTAGTTAAAGATACATTATGTAAGATTTAGATAAAGAACTAGCCATTGCTATAATAGTTCGAAAGAAGATGATGTAAAATGAATAATTTGAAAATTTCATTCAAATTACTCTATTGCAAGCGAAGATATTAGCCTTTGAAGGTTTGACAGACGTGTGCAATAATTTCAACCACCGTACTGGTTGATCGAAGCTAAGTCTCGGTCCTCCATATTTGATTAAATCTAGTATCGCTGAACCATTCTAATCTATTTAATATCGGAGAAAACTGATGCCATCGAGAGTTGATTAAGGCCTGGATCAGTTAATCAATGTCTAATTAATACTTTAGAAAACATTTCAGACCTAAAGAAAGACCTGCAATAGGCAAATTTAGCTCTTGCATAATGCATGTTTAAGAGTTCAATAAAGAGTTGGTCATTCTTGCTATAATAATTCAAAAATAGATGATGAAAAAAGAAAATATTGAAAAATTCATTCTCAGCCAAGTTATCACTGTTTGTAGTTTTGACAAGATGTGTGCACAGTGGTAACCAAGGCACTGGTATAATTGGGACTTAGCATCGCTTTCCCATTTTCAAATTAAATTTTTAAATGGCGAACCATTTGAATCTAATTAAAATCTTGAGTATCCGATGCCATCGAGAGTCGATTATGGTTTTGTTTTGTTAATAAATATCTAATTAATAGTTTATATAACATTTCAGGCCTAAAGAAAGACCTGCAATAGGCAGATTTAGCTCTTGCATAGTGTATGTTTAATAACTTACCAATTCTACTCCAATAACACCAGCACCAATCAGAACTAATTTTGTAGGAACTTTTTCTAAAGACAGTGCTCCTGTTGAAGACACTATTGTTTTTTCATCAATCTGAAATACAAGAAATACCAATTATGGATATCTGCGATTTCTTGTCTAGCTGTTTGGCAGATGCTGAAATCAGGATTCCAAGCTTTACGAAATAAAAAGTCTTTGTTTGAAAGGTTTACACCTCAGAGCTTAGCAGGATAAAATTTGAGGCTCAAAAGTAATTTGTTCATGAAGAATGGCAGAAAGAAAAGTATGTGATTATCGTCATGCAATGATAGATTACCAGCGATTTCTAGGTAATGAATGATACAATAAATTACCAAGATAAACAACATTTTTAAAAAAACTTGTACTCTGCAAAATTTGGTAACAAGTCAGATCTTTCTAAATGATTTACAGAAAATAGCTTGGACTGACTGTACCCAAGTAGGTACCTATTAGTTAACGATGAAGATGAAACACGACTTACTTCAATACCAGGGAAAGGTGTAACTTCTGAACCAGTAGCTATTAATATATTTTTAGTGGAGACTGTTTCTTTAGAACCATCAGATTTTGTTACTGTGACTTCATTAGGACCTGTTACACTACCCATACCTTGTAAATGTGTTATCTAGCAAAAACAAACAGAAACATTAGTTGCCAGGCAACAAAACACATGCACACATCATCCAAGAAGGTATGACCTACCGGTAGACAATCCATGTCTAACCTTTAAATGTATTTACCATTACCAGTTTTTATTTGCTATTAGAGTATTCGATAAAAGAAAGAGTTTTTAAACCATTTCTGTTAAAGGTCACACAAATATTCAAATTGTTATTCAGCGATTTTTCAACTGATTATTTAAATGAAATAGGGTTTAACGTCCTACTGTTCTGCTCCGAACTGGGCTAATGAAGACAAGCTTTGTTATTCAAAGTCAATATCAAAACAAATTCTATTTAACCAGTTTTTGTCAACTATTGAATATATATTAATTCAATGAAAGTTTTAATCTTTAAAATCAATACAGTTTTCTTTATCTTTGGAAATATATTAAACAATCTCTAAAATCAGAAAGTGTGCAAACAACAATTTTTATTTGGGACGATAAAAACATTATAATATTTCTGTAAATCAGAAAATTCAGAACAAAAAAAATTCTATTTGGGATGATAAAAAAAATGTAATATGACCCACAATGCTATTCCTAATAAAATACTTAGCCACCTTTTTCAATTCTACAGATAAATTTTCTTGTATTGTACTCACCTTATTCTGTTTAAATAAATGTGCTATTCCACCAGTTAGAGCTTTTACAGCATTTCTCTTCTGTTCCATCATAGTATCTAAATTTAGTTTTAAATCACTGACTGAAAATAAACCAATTTTAAATCAAAATTAAAGCTAGATAACCAAATTCTGATATATTGTTTAGTGTTTGGGTTTTCAGTTGATATAACTGATTAACTGCAGAAATGGGAAAGGGAACTCCATTAAAAGCCATTTGCAAGGAAATGAAATTGGGTATTACTTGCAACATACATGACAATATACAAATATGAATAAACCAACATTGTATGTATACATTACTAAAATTGAAAAATCAGGTAAACAAATAAAATCTAAAACCCACTTCTCATGAAAACAGAATGTGTGCTCATTCATTTCTAAAATCTAAGCTTATGTTTTTCGGAATATGTTTTCTAGTTGTTACTGTATGTGGTGTTGTCACCCTTAACAGTTACTATCAATGAAAACAAATACATACACTCTATTCCACGTTTATGCAAATCTTGAGTTTTAGCCATATGATAATAATGTGAGTTATTTAACATAGCTTTAGATGGAATACAACCAACATTTAAACACGTTCCTCCTAATGTCTCATTCTTTTCTACACAGACAGTCTGAAATACAAAACGATTACCATTTAATATCAAGAAAGCATTACCATTGTGCTGAATTATATTCTTGAACAATTGGTGTCACTCCTCATTTCTTTTGGAAATACATGTCACTCGAACAATTATGTTAATGTATTCTGTATGAATCTCGTAAATTTAATAGTTCTGATTACTAATACAAATTTGCACTAACCTTCATGCCTAGTTGAGCTGCTTTAATTGCTGCCACATAGCCGCCTGGTCCAGATCCAATAACAACTAAATCATTTTCCGCTTCATAAAGAAATATAACAGTTTATGTTAAAATAATTTTTCAAATTTCTACTTTTTATAAGGGTAATTTCTTTTTCATAAGATTATTATATATTATGATAAAAAAAGGTATAAATTTATTATTGAAGTTCTATAATAACATTAATTACCTCCTGATGAGTAATCTCTAACCGAACCATTTAATGCTGTCAAACAACGTCCAGCTTGATGACTACCACCCTATAAAAACAATTATAGTGTAAATTCCAAAACTGCTAATTTTAATGATGCAGCTAGTGTAGGTCTACATAACCTGTCCACCAATTTCTGATGGTTTATAGTGCAATTTGTGGATATTTTCACAAATCAGCATTTGATTTTATATAGATTAGGCTGCCTAGTTATTATAATTAATATATTGTCATTTATGACCAAGAAACCTGGCTCCCTTCAAGTTCAATTCAATAATGGTCTACAGTACAACAATAAAAATATGAGTGTGACTTTGACATGCCATATAAAGAGAGAGAGAAATGGGGTTTAACATCCACTTGACACAAACTTGGTCATTTCAGGACTAACATATGGTTTAATTTTATTTCATTTTTTCGCTTGTGCATAGGGGTCATTAGCAGTGGGAAGAAACCAGAGTACCTGGAGAAAACCCACGAGGTTGGACAGGCGACCCTATTCCTTGTCATGTACAATAGGGGATTCGAAACCACGCCAGTTGACTCAATGGCAGGCCTTATGAATATGAAATTATGATACAGCGCGCATGTGCTAACCATTCGGCCATCCACCCTCCCCATGTCATATAAAGAATGTTAGGAGGTAAACAATGGACCACGATGACGTGCTCTGCTGATTCTGTCAACAAATGATAATTATGAACGTTACTTGAGTGAGTAGGCCTAGTACAACTACACACCACGCCACCACGGTTACATAATATCGAGCGAAGCTCTAAAGCTAGGTGCTTGAGCAAAGCTCTTTTCCAGTAACACAGGAGCATAACTGAAATTGTCACCCACAGACTGTTGATTAAAAAAAAATTCAGACCGGAACCGGATACACTGGGCAAAACAGGCAATGCGCATGTCAACTTACCAAATCTCGCCCAAGCGAGATTACGCGCCTCATAGAACTATTTCTATGACGCGTCTAATCATGATGACGTCACATATTTTTGACGTCAATGAAAATAATTTTTAAAAACAAAATTAATGTATAGAATTTAGATCTAAATAAAAATCAATTTGGAAAAACTAAATTATTTAACATTTTTTGTATCACTTGAGAAAATTAATTATGAAGATTTTATATTTGACAATATAATCAGCTTAGCTCTACTCAGGCAATGCCTGTTACATATTAGGCCTAGCCTAAAATAAATTTAAGACAAGTGTTGAAGTGACTTTTACAAATTAGGCCTACTGTACATATTACATAAACTGCATGACGAATCTAAGTTAGCTCTGCTCTCAAATTGGAAATTTTCACGAGTTCTGCAAAAGCATCTGTGACATGGAAATAGGTTTATTATGAAGGAAAAATTACCCGAAGGGTGTTAGATAATTTGGAAACTGCAGAAGACAACATGACTTTGACGAAATCTCTCAACCGGTCATCAGAGATGGCGCTCTTCACCACTGTCCCTTTCCGGTTAAAGAAATTTTAGCTTATATTTTCACCGAAAAGCAACATAACAAAAATCCCAAAAAGAATAATAAAACATAGGGAAAATGACAAAAGAGTAGAATTCTGCAGAAGATATTTATTTTTTTTAGAAATAACTAATACTATTGTATAGATCATATTTGTTCGAGCATGATCATATTCGTTTTGCTTTTGTTCTTTTCTTTATCCAGTCTTCATTTCAATATTATAAGGAGAACGCTAAATCGGAGACGGTCCTGTACATTTGAGCACATATGACGTCATACGTCGATTGTGGGTTAGGGTTAGGGTCAGGGTTAAGACCCGCAAGACTAGAGATGTAAACAGGGCTAGCGCCAACCCTAACACTATGCCTGTACCAAGCCTAACCTAACCTACAATCCATATATTATGACGTCATATGTAAAGGACTGTCTCCGGTGTAGTGTTCTCCGAAATCATAATGAAATGTAACGAAAAATGTGTGACTGGTTAATCGAACATAAAAGCTTCATCGCGACAAGCAGCAAAACCCACTGTGGCGGAACGGGTTGATAAAAAGCTAACAACAACTCAAAGCAAGACTTTATTTCACTTAATCGTCTGCTAGTGTTCTGCAAAACAACAATATGTCGAAAGGTAGCCCGATTAAAGATTTTATTGCTGGGGGATTTGGTGGCGTTTGTTGTGTTTCAGCAGGCCAACCACTGGACATGATTAAAGTAAGTTTTTCTTCATATTCGTATTTTGGACATAGGCCTATTTTTTTTTTTAAAAGTCCAGCCCAGGTAATTTTGGATCGAGGTAACCTTCCATGAAAAATAATAATGGCCCAGATCTGTATGTACTTTAAGTGAAGTGGACTTTGACCTGCATCAATGTACATGTAGACTACACCAAATGGCAAAACCAAAAAAAAATAGTTTTTAGACTTTGATCTCAGTCCTCGCAACTCAATAAATTAATAAACCACGACACAACATATTTATCTTAAAAGACAAATTATATCTAGGTTTAGGCTATAATTCTTTTATAAAAAATACATGTAATGTATACTACTTTCAGAGAATGAATCCCAGAACAGCATGCAAACAAAATGAGATAACGTATACAGGTATTACTATTAGTTTAGGGAAGTTAATATAAAAATATAAGTAATGTATAAAATATCTGATGGGGGATTGCAGTATTTCATTAAATCATAGATAATACCATGATTATTAAAATAGATATTTTTTTTTTATCATAGAAAAAAAGGCAAATGCACTATGTGTATAATAATTTAAAGAATAATCTTATATTTTTCCATTTTTTTTTTTAACAGTAATTATCTCAAACTGGTAATTAATAAACTGAACTTTATTTAACCCTTGATTATGCACTCTCCATAGTGAGTGGTGGTAGATAGATTCTGGTATTATGCTTGTAGCTTAAAATTATATACACAGAGACTAGGGCTGTCCGTTCTTGCTGTAATAGTTCCAATAGTATAGATAATTCAAAATTAATATATTGAAAATTTCATAGATTGTTAATTATTGTAACAATGTTACTGGTAAATTGAGACTTGGCCTCGCTTCTCCATTCTTAAGTTAATTAAATCATTAAATGAGGATCGTATTTTAATCTGTTTACATCTATGCCATCCGATGCTTTAGAGAGTTGGTTATAGGCTTGTCATGTGCATAAATACCTAAATAGTAATTAATATAACTTTTGAAGCCAAAATAAAAAACTGTTAAAAGGCAGATTTAACTTTTATTACAAAATGCATCTTTAATATTGGTGATTATTTACATGTGTGTGAGTGTTCAATTTTATGACAGACATTAAACCCCATTTCTCTCTCAATTTTATGTCAAATCATGTAAGCACTAATATCTATTAGCTCACACTACATGAAGTATGTTGCTAGATTTAATACTGTATTTGTATCAGTCAGGTCTCATTTCTGAAATAAGATAATAATAATTATAAGATATGGATCTGTATACTGCAGAAAGTGTGACACAGGAGTTGAAAATAAAATATACACTAAAATACTGTACATTGTAGTTTTTGTATACAGAAATTATTGTAGTTTCCTAAAATATGAATAAAAAGATAACCCTGAAAGTAATTTTGACACATTTGTGAAAATGTCAGAGGTAAAGCATGAATGTTGTGGTGGTGATTTTGAAAAATTGACATGCAATTTATAATAAAATACTGAACAAGTACAAAACAAATAATACCTGTTCTGTTTGAAGAATTGTGTTTATTTATGTAATATGTCCCAAAAAATAAATATATTCTATTCTATGGTGTGTTAATTGCGGTGACCTAATCCCAAGACCTACATATACGTGTATAGGTCAGATATATGCATCTAACATAATGTGATATGTGCTTCTGCTTTCATTTATGTCAAATGTATAGAAAATAATTGCATTGTGAACAAACGAGAACACATTTATTGTTGTGGTCATGATTTTGACATGTTGACATTTGTCTGTTGATCGTAATTTTGACTTAATTGAGAGCAGCATAAAAATATCTTTCTTAGTTTATTATTTCCTCATTAGCACAGTACAGTGAAATGAAAAATGTTTTATATGTATTTTCTATCTTTATTATATTTATGAATTCATAAGTATTTGAAATAGGCTCAAAACACAAAAGAAAATATTAACCTGATGAAAATTGGCTGTATCGTTTCCTGTAAACAACATAGAAGGCATAAGCCAAAATCATCATTAATCTGTTGAACCATGGAGGAAATTGTGCCCCTTGCACAAAACAAATTAATTTGGGCGGTTTACCATAAATGCAACGTAGAAAGTGCTTACCATACAGTCAATAAATATCTTTAATAATAATCCCGTTCCATTTATAAAACTTATCTAAGACGCAAAAAATAATGTCCATTGCCTTATCCGCAAACACACTAATGAATCAATGAAAGAAACGTGTAACAACAGATCTCCCACATCTTCTCACAGCAGCCTTTACCACTGCAAATAAAATTAAGTGGTTGTTGATTTTCCCTTCTAACTGGTGGTAACGTTTGACATATTATAACAGTTGTAAGTGATTGGGCTTTGCTACACAATTCAACTCAATTTTATCAAAATAATGACCGTTTTGGCCTAAAACGTAAAATATATTTTGGTCGTGAGGTTGACATGATCAGTCGTTATTCTTGACGTCGCTTAATAGCTGTCAAGTATCGAGACCAAAACATAGTCAATGTCATTCTGGTCACGTAGAGAATGCCGACCATTTTATGACTGAAGGAATTACCTTTTAATTTACAGGAAAATAGCCCTCTGTCATAATAAAGCGGTTAATATATTCAATCTGTACACTTTTACGGTTATAGATTCCAATGTCTAAGAGGTCGTGACGATAATTTTGGTCCTGATTTTCTTTAATTTGTTTGACAAAATATATATATACCACAAACGTGTGGATTTTTTTTTTTACTTCGACATCCTGGGAACCGTGTTACTTCATTGTGGACAAAATTGTCAATAATCATATCTACATTCGTAACATATTTTGCTGTTTTAGGTAAGAATACAGACTATGCCAAGGCCGCCACCAGGCCAGGCACCACTCTATGCAGGTACCTTTGATTGTGCAATGAAAATTGTGAAGAAAGAGGTAATCATAAACAATACATGTACCGACAGTTCATTTTTGATTCATTGTAAACAGAAGTCTTAGAAACTTTTCCTTGGTAAAAGATTAGATTAAAATTAAAATTCAGTCTAGATGAAATAAATTCATATTTTTCATACAAATGAAAAGATAAATCCCCAAACATACATGTACCTATTTAAACAAAAATCAAAAGGAAGTGACAAAAAATGAGTTAAGATTTATTAAAAGTCTAATCTAATATTAATACTTGTTTCAGGGATTTTTTGGTTTATATAAAGGAATGGGAGCTCCATTAGCTGGTGTTGCACCAATGTTTGCTATTTGTTTTTTTGGTTTTGGTGTTGGCAAACGTCTTCAACAGAATAAACCTGATGATGTTTTAACGTAAGTCGGTGGCATTACCATTGGATTTACTAGCTTACATGTACTGTTCCTATAATACACAAGACATTTCTATGGAGTACCATAACTGATACAAATATGAGAGATAGAGAAATGGGGTTTAACCCCCACTCGACACAAACTAGGTCATTTCGGGACTAACACATGGTTTAATTTTATTTCCAGATCCTAGTGTAGTAAAGACAACTAAATCAAAATTTTGAACTATACAATTACAAACGAAACGCAATAGGATCTGTGTTTTAATCAGATTGGCTAAACCTCCTGATACAAATATGATGGGACATTGTGTTCCACAGAATTGCTGTATTCATTTCATTTGCATAGAATTATGTCCTGTGTATTTTAAGTTCAATGACCAAATGTGAATGAAATAATTAACAGTAATACTAGGTCAATCTGATTAAAACACAGATCCTATTTCGTTTCGTTTTTATAGTTCAAAATATCGTTTTACTTGTCTTTACTACACTAGGATCTGAAAGAGTTGTTATCATTGACGTGTTCTGGATAGTGTGAGGTATTAGCCAATGAAACGGTCTGTTACGGCAAGCTTTAGGCATGTTTTTCACGAAACTGTGGGTAAGCCCCTAGAAGCATTAATGCTGATTGGTTAATCAAATGTCTGATGTCATAGACTCACTTGCCGCTCGTATGACCTCTGACGTGACCTATTGCAACAACCAGTCAGATCTTCATGTAGTGTAGGTCATTGAAAGTATAAAAAAAACGTAACGAAATATAGATCTATATTTTGATCAGATTGATACTAGGTGTGAGTTTATCTTGTACTGGATTGTTAACCTTTTACTGGTCACACTCTGAATGATGGTAATTATCAGTTTTTCCTGACAATGGATAGTAATTGTGAATGAAAATAATAAAGCACTGTTGATATTACATGTACCCTTCTATAACAATGGCAGACAAATCTAAATTTTCCTCACATGCTTTTGGTGGTCACTTTCCCAGTTGGGCAGCACAAACACTGCAGTTATGCCAAATTGATTACTTACAGAAATCTATGGAAAAATCTGGCATATTTAAAAAGATGTATTGTTTCTCCATTTAAAACAGTTGCTCAATTATTTGGAAGCTTTGCTGTAGCCTTTTTTTTTTCTGCTATTCATGCATGTCGCATATGATTCTTAATTGAGGTCAAGGTCTGATTTGTCTCGAATGCTTGAGTGATTTTAGCATAGTTCATATGTATTTTGTCTTTGTTGTTTTTATTGCTATAGCTATAGCTCACACAACACAGTAACACAGAGAGCATACTTGATAAAATACATAAACAAAAATTGTTATTTAGTTAAAATTAAATGTAATTAGAAATTAAAATAGCTCTGGATATGTGATGTTGGTCATTAAGTAGGTGTTATATTACTAAAATGTTAATTAGTGATGAACACCACTATTGACTGTTTTTAGATATATAAGCATGCTATATGTATCACACTAGAAGTGGTATCGGTTTATTCCCACGAAGGCGCAGTTATTGACCGTAACGGATTAAAAAAGGTCGTTTTCGACGACTTCGGGGGAATCCACCCCCTAGGGATTAAAATGGATTAAAAACGTAACAATGGTGTTATAGATTGTTATGATAAGAATTTACACTTTCATAATCCCCAATGTAACTAATTAACCAACATTTTAGCATCAGTTATGGCATAAGAAACATAACTATACTATAACAAAAATTAATTTTATTTCGCCAAATAAGAAATAAAAACATAACTATACTATAACAAAAATTAGTTTAATTTCGCCAAATTCCTGGAGCTGGCTTTGGATTTGAGCATATTTGTATCCTTTCCTTGGTGGTTCCTGTCCCCCAGCATACTGAACGATTCTAATCTCATTGACATATAGTTCTTGTTGCAAAATTGGTGAATAAAATTCAGAGTGAACATAAATTCATAAAATCTTTAACACCGTTAATTGGGTCCTAATAACAACATGTCTCTATTCAAACGAAAGCCGACAAGTCGATATCTGCGCCTTCGTGGGAAGGATTAATTTTGGTCACGCTCAATAACTGCGCCTTCGTGGGAATACACCGTGGTATCGATAATCTTTTGCTACTAGTTACAGTCCCACCTGCTAATTAATGACTATGTATAATTGGATGGATCGACTTTCTTTACATACTAAACATTAGACTCTAAACTTTAGAGAAATGATGACTTGTATGGTTCGATGGCCAAAATATTTATTAATATTAGGTTAAATTAAGTTGAGCTATTGTGTGATTATGATTAGTGATGGGGTAAACTTTGTGTGATTACATTGATTTTGTTGGCTTACTAACTTTAGTTTAATTTTGACTTATTGATGTGTTAAAAAATTGAACCCAAAATGGATTATGTCACATTGGCTTTTATCTAATGACATAAAGTTTCGAACAAAGACAGGTTGACACTCCATAAATGAATGAATGAATGGAATTTTATGGCATGCCAGCTCCAGCCAGGCTATATTGTGACAAATCACCCCATAAAATAAATCAACCCATAAAATTTTGTGAAACTTAAAATTTTATTTGGATATATATCAAAGAGGTCAAGCCATTATTTTAAATTATTTTAACCTTTCCTATCATATATAAATTTGATGGACAGCAACATTGTTCTTCAGTTGTCGATGAAAAAAATCAATTTTTTATTGGTAACTGCTTATATTAACCTCAGAGTTATGCCTCTTTGTTGTGAATTACAGGATTAATGAGAGATTGAATTGTCTTTATTTGTAGATATGCTCAATTATTTAAAGCCGGTATGGTAGCTGGAGTATTTACTACAGTTATTATGGCTCCTGGTGAAAGAATCAAATGCTTACTTCAGGTAGATTTTTAACACTTGTTTCAGGCCTTTAAAGTTTCATAATCTCTGTTAGTGATATTGAAAAACAATGTGAAGAATGAAATTATCTTTTCAAAAAATCTTTTGAGTTGCATGCATTTTCAGTTGACCAACTAACAAAGAGTACAAATGGTAATATGTTATACATGTACATTTTTCACATTAAATTTATCACATTAAATTGCAATAAATTTATTGAAAAGTTGAAACAAATAATTTATTGTTGGGTGTGCTGTCTATTTATAGTCACTCACAGAGTTAACAGCAATGACCTCTCAATATGACAACAATTATGAAACCATCCTGTAGATTAACTGTTAACACTGTCTCTACCAATAAGATTACACAATTAATCTATAGTAATGAGTTACTCATCATTATCACTGACAGATGAGAGGACCTTATTGAGACAGGATGATAAAGTAACAAAATGTGGGGATCATCGAGTTGATAATTGATTTTAATAAAACTTATCTTATTGATCCCCAATGGTCATTCTTAAATGCAATTAAACACCCACAAAATTGATTTTTGTCTAATATTTATATTTGTTGTATCCAGGTACAAGCAGCTTCAGGTAAGCCAGCTATATATAATGGTCCTATAGATTGTATTAAACAGTTATATAAAGAAGGAGGTATTAGAAGTTTATATCGTGGTACTGCAGCTACATTATTACGTGATGTACCAGCTAGTGGAATGTATTTTATGGTATATGAATGGTTACAACATATTTTAACTCCAGCAGGAGGAAGGTAACTTATTATTTCAGTTAGATAAGGTTCATCACTTGTTTGATATGTGTAGGCCTGACACAATCCAGAAGTTCACTTATGAACAGTAAGTATACTTAAGCTTAGTTCTCTACTTTAATGTGGTAGGGACGGGGGATCTTCAGAAATGATTACTATTATCAGGGGGTGGTTATTGTCCCCCAACTTTTGGAGACAGCAGAGGACCATTAGAATGTGTTCAACCATCGTCTGTTCATCTGTGCCTCACACCTTTTAGAACACAATAACTCTGCTTCCAGTTGACGTTCAAACTTTGTGTAGGTGTTCATTAAATTAGGTGAATTGATGAGAAAATTCTACTTAGGCTAAGCAGAAATTGGCGTATAGTTTCATTACATCAATACCATGACCAAGTTTGATTGCTCGAGACACTGGTAGAATGTTCAAACTTCATGTTGATCATAAGGTCAAGCAGAGTGATTTGATTGTTCGAAAAGATAAATTAATTAATGAGTTCATCTATTTATTTAGGGATTGAGACAGGGGATATTTTAGGCTGTATTTATTATGTAGTTCTATGCTATACATTATGTTATAAATGTATTTCTATGCTATATTTATATTATGTTATAAATTATGTTATGAATGTATTTTTATGTTATATTTATGTTATAAATGTAATTTTATACTATATTTATATCATAAATGTATTTCTATGCTATAATTATACCATGTTATAAATGTATTTCTATGCTATAATTATATCATGTTATAAATTTATTTCTATGTATTATGTTTATTACAGTCGTAATGATTTAAGTGTTGGTAGAACTCTAGTAGCTGGAGGTGTTGCTGGTATATTTAACTGGGCTGTAGCTATTCCACCTGATGTCTTAAAATCTAGATTACAAACAGGTAAAAACATATAGTTTACGTAAAACCAAAAAAACATGCATCCCAGTCTAAGATAAATAGCATGTATTGCTTGCGGACTTGTGATGGATGTATGTAGCTTCCCCTACATGAGGCTGCGTGATCGTCGATTCGATTTGATTTATTTTTTTTGTGAATGAAAACCATGACTGTTGTTTTTTACTTCAATCTAATAATAAAAGATTCTTCTCTTAATGTTCACAGCTCCTGAAGGTACATATCCCAATGGTATACGAGATGTATTTAGACAGCTAATGAAGGAAGAGGGAATTCTCTCCCTTTATAAAGGTTTTACTCCTGTTATGTTACGAGCTTTTCCTGCCAATGCAGTAAGTTTATCATCTTTAAAATTCATTAGATGACCATACAAAAGAAATGTTCTATTTCTCAGACAATCATTCCAAAACAATATGATGTAGGAGGAAGGTTTTTATTTTTTGTTTGTTTTATTTTTTTGCCAAAGGATCACTATGACTAAATGACTGCTTACAAACATCACATTTCAAGCTTCTACATTTATTTCATCTTCTCTTTAATTGTATTGAGTTGACTGGCGTGGTTTCGAATCCCCGGCTGTACGTGACAAGGAGTAGGGTTGCCTGTCTAACCTTGTGGGTTTTCTCTGAGTCCTCCGGTTTCCTCCCACTGCTAAAGACCCCTATGCGCAAGCGAATTATTGAAATAAAATTAAACGATATGTTAGCCCTGAAATGACCTAGTCTGTGTCGAGTGGACGTTAAACCCATTTCTCTCTCTCTCTCTATTTATATGACCATATTGGACATGTAATTAATGGTAGACATAAGAAAACTGTACTACAAATACAATTTAAGAAGTTTAGCCACGAAAATTGTATTTTCTGTACTCTGACTGTCCCATTAACAATGAATTGAGTGACTTGAAAATAACAGCCTTATTTTATATCCTGGATATTTTAATACCAGTTATTTATTTCTTTGTGTGCAATATACATGTACATATACTTGCATATTTGTATATTTTCCAATATGTCTGAGGAAATCTAAAACTATCTGTTCTAATTTGATTGTAATTTTATTTTTCAGGCCTGTTTTATGGGTTATGAATTAGCAATGAAAGGTTTAAATTGGCTGGCACCAAATCTGTGATAATTGAGTGCAATTAATATTTTTATCATAACTCAGTAACAAATATGCATTAAAGTGTGGGTGGGGGAAATTGTAGGAAAAATGAATTTTTCTACCTTTGAAGATATATAAATATTTGATTAATGGTAATACTTACATTTCATACTCAAAATAAAATCAAAACAATTAATACATTCTGCAATTAGAATATGTTTTCCTGAATATTTACAGGGGGTATGTTTTTGGATATGATTTCAGAGACTATATCTTATCTTAATTTATATTTAGTTCAACTCTTCCAGTATTATTTCAATGTCTGTCTTAATTTATGATACAATCCCTATAAGATGTAAATATTTATATTATATTCTTGTTGTATTAAAGTCTTTCTAATCACTAGGGTATTGTTAACAGGAGAGCAAGCTATAAATGTATGATACACTGCCTACCTAACCCCTGTTTGAAGCCGTTTCACAAAGATGCATACACAGTGTAAATGTTAATGTCTTACAAATCTTTCAGTGGAAATGTTGATTGTTTAAACTGTTAGTGATTTTGTTAGATTTAATTTCAATGTACGGCAGCTTACAGTGCATTATGTGCCTTCATCCTGTGATTCCTTGCCTTCTTTGTTGATTGATAAAATGATGATACAGATCTCATCTAAATATTAACGGGTCTATTGTACTGTATACTACTTTTATAAACATTAATTAATTAAAACAACATTTATTTTATAACCTGTAGCTTAGAATTGTTTTAATTTTAAATATAGCACAAATAAATTTATTTGCCAGGATATGTAGTACCATAGTTCATTATCTATTATTAAAATAGTTTCATCAATACAGATCTTGTGTATACGGGTAACTATTGATCACTGTTCATAAATAAAGCCATGGCTTAATAGTCACTAGATCGAAGAATAATCTAGCATGTGTTTCTGGTTTTGTTTTGAGTGGATCACAGATACCCGGATACAGTCACAACCATAGTGTTAAAGGAGGAAAGTCGCTAACTCATTAAATATTTAAGACAAAATCAAAATTTTAAAATTGGCACACAATCACATGCCAGAATGATTTGGAGTGCCATTTCTAATGAAGTGATTCGATGAACGAGGCTAAACATATCCTACAGGACAATACTACTAGTTTAGACTGGAATAACCAGACGCCAAAGACTGCCATTGAATTTGGACTCTTTGCGTATTTCGCTGAACGTAACTGTTTAGAAATTACGGTAAAAAAGAGAAACAAATGAATGTAAATCAGTTTACATACATTCATAATACATTATTATATGTGTTGCGACCCATTTGTGTCCATTTCTAGGTGCCAAAGAATAGAGATTTAGGTCCTTTAATTGTTTAAGTAAAAACTAAAGGATTTGTGCTTTGAGCTGAAACTATTTCAATAGTAGATAATAAATTAATAAAATAACTTAAAAGTGGCATTATGGAAGATAAGATGAGGAGCTGACAGTTCTCGCTATAACAGTTAAAAAAAAAAATATAATGCTGAAAATTTCAAATTACTTCACCCTGAGCCAAGGAACCTCATTTCAGTAACACTACAATCTTGATTGTCATTGTTACCGTTGTGACGATAATAAACAAAGTCTTGATTATCTATTTTTATACGCCCATTGAAAGTGTGGGCGTATATTGTATTGTCACCCGTTTCGTTGTCCACAATTTCTTGTGAACACTCTGCAGACTACATTTATCATCTGATTGTTTTGAAATTGATACCTTGTTTACATTAGTGAGATAAATTCCAATAATTTCTTCTGGAGTTATGGCCTTGTTTCACTTAATTTCACCTTGTGAATGCTCTAACGTCAAAAATTATTATCCGATCTGTATAATATAACATTTAAGGCCTAAAGAAAGATATGATATAGGCAGATTTAGCTCTTGCACAATGCATGTTTAAATGGCTGTATCCCTCATTCATATGCCCTCTTGGTTTCCAACACCTTTGTGTTTTAATAGCATATATATACATGTCTTTATGTTAATTTTTCCCTTGCTGGTCATCATTTTATATCGGAAAGTCTGAAATGTCTTATGCAAATAAATTTTGATTCAAGCTGTCTACATACAAATCTCTGTTTTTCTGAACTCCACATTACTGTTTTTTTGGGGGATATATTTCACTAAAGGTGATGGTGGTCTAATTAAATTATATTAATATATATTATAACGTATTCCAAACAATTTCAAAGTGGTGTTTTTGTTTTTTTTTTACATCAAATGGAAATTGTACATAATATTTTGAAATAAATTTATATTGAACAGAATTTATTAAATTTTGTTATAAATAAAAAGACTACAAATTCACAACAAAACACAACACAAGGTATATATTAATATAATTAATTACTACTCTATTACTTAAAGATACATTATGGGAGATAAGATAAAGAGATGGCAGTTTTCGCTATAATAATTACAAACTAGATAGTGTAAAGGTAATTTGCTGAAAATTTCAGTCAAATTGATCCACTATGAGCCGAGAAAGAAGCGGGTGAAATTTTTGCATAGTCTCGGTCATCATTACTAAAATCATTTATATAAACAGCATAGTCTCGATTATCCACTTTTTCTGATTTAATTATCAACGGCTGTTAGCGGCATATAGGAATCTAATCCAGCCAACATCGAAGGCTAGCCTTGACATCGAAAGTTTATTATGGTCTGGATAAGTTAATTAATGTCTAATTGATAATTTAGATAACATTTCAGGCGTAAGCGAATTCATGAAATAAAATTGAACAATATTTTAGTCCCAAAATGATCTAGTTTGTGTCTAGTTACCCTCATTTCTCTCTCTCTCTCTCTCTGTAGCTGCTACAGTCATAATAATCCATTCAGATATTCAATACACCTTTTGTCAACATCAGAAAATATCTCCCAAACGAATACAAATGAGTTTGCCATGCACAGTGGATATTGAATTAAACAAGAGCATTGGTACTGCAGCAATATATGTCAACATTCCTGGGGGTTGGGGCATGCACCAAAATAAATAATTGCTGTCTTTACAGTATAAGGAATAGATATGCAAAGTTCCAAGATGATCCATTGAGAATTGGAGCTTGTAGACGATAAACACAAAAAGAGGGCGTAGCTCAGCCCCTGGGGGTTGGATATGGAACAATATAAATAGGGACAACCCTATGATGAATCATGCTGAATTAGATCAAAATCTGTTAATAATTGCAACCAGTAGATTATTTACAGACAAAATTTTAACAAAATGTGGGTGTGGCACCACCCAAGCGAGGCGGATCATGCACCAAAATCAATAGTTGTCGTCCTTAAGGAATAAGTATACCAACCTGAAAGATAATCTGTTCAGAATTGTGGCCTTCAGGTGCTCAACACAAAAAATGGGCGTGGCTCTGCACCTGGGGGTCGGGACGTGCACCAAAGTCATAGTTGCCGTCCTTAGGCTATATAGGGAATAGATATGCCAAGTTCCAAGATGATTTGTCAAGAAATACAGCCTAAAGACATCAAACAAACAAATACAGAAGATGGGTGTGGCTCTGCCCCTGGGGGTCAGGCATACATCAAAAACAATAGGGATCATCCGTAGGATATAAGGAATAAGTATATACAGACAGGGGCAAAGGCATAATATGTCCACATTATGAGAGAGAGAACCTAGGTACTTTCGTGACTAACATGATTCAATTTTATTTCAATAATTTGATTGTGTGTAAGAGTCTTTAACAGTGGGAGGAAACCAGAGGACCCAGAGAAAACCCACGAGATTGGACAGATGACCCATCTCCTTGTCACATATAACTGGGGGTCCACATTATGAATGTGGACATAAAAAAAGGATCATTCTAAAAATTATCTTTTGACATCGAATATTAGTTGAGGTAGAACAACATTTTATTAGAGCTTAGGCTGTGTGGGGCACCCTATATTTACTTACAGATGCATTATGTAAGAATTTGATAAAGAGCTGACAGTTTTTGCTGTAATAGTTCAAAAATATGTACCGGTAATCAAAAAGGAGTACAATATTGAAAGTTTCAGTCAAATTACTTTATTTTCTGCAAAGTTATTAGTATTTGAAGTTTTGACAATATAAAGTCAGAGCCATCTGATAGCTATGAGAGTTGATATGGGCATGTCATCTTATAAATGTTGAAATAATAATTTATATAACATTTGAAACCAGAAAAAAAGGGCTGCAATTAGCTCTTACTAGTCTTACATAATGTGGCTTTAAAAAAAAATTAAACCGAATATTTTTATACGAAAAGATTTTATTATTAATCTTAATTTCAATACATGTACATAGAATGATGTTAACATTATTTTTCATAATTACTTTGATGAACATGCATTACAAAATGTTATAATCAAAAATATATTTAAATAATTAAGCTTAATTCAAATTACACAGACCTGTGTTTTATATATATAAAATCTTTAACTTAGTAGTAATAAATAAAATTAGTATGAGCTATGTCATGCATACAAACAGCCTATACTGCATTCCTACATTGTGTATTTTGCCTGTATTTTGCTTTACAGTTACAATGCATTATCGAATATGTTTATGCAGCCTTAATTGAAGGTTTTTTTTTTTTAAATTGACAACACAAGTACTATGCACCTTCTTGTGGTATTTCACAACAAAACTAGTGCACATTAATTATTCTGTTGCATTCACTTCTTACATGAAGTTTTCTTTTTATTCAATTGCTGAATTATTGAGTGTAAAGAGTTTGGCATCATCAATTTACATCATACAAAGTTAAACATATAGAGCAAACTTAAGCAATTCTGAAAATTTTGATGTACATGTATCACTAAAGTGATAGCGGAGAGGAGAGACCTAACCTACATTTCAAGATTAATGTATTGTTCTTATCATCAATCCTCTGATAAAAATCTGCACTCCCTTTCAAAAAGGCAGTATGAAATGTTCAGAGGATTGTAATTCTAAAGATTGTGATTGAAATGTGATGAAATTCATAAACATACATACAAAAAAAAAAAAAAAAATTAATAATTGCCTAGTGGTGCTGCCAATGTCACCATTAACATAACATAGAGCTGTGAAGTTTTCATTTTATTATTTATGTATGATTTTATGTTATCTCCAGTCCACCTACTACTTTCTACCTGTGTTTCTAGCTGTCTTTTTAAATCCTATCACCATTTAAATAACCAATAATATTCCTACAAATAGTAGATCGTCACTTATATCCCCTTTGTAGCAAGCAGAAAAGCACTATGTAGAACTAATCATTTCAAACTGGCTTCTACATACCAGTAATGAATACGTTGCTGCTGCTGAATTGAAGCATACCCCATTGAAATAAAGTTGCACATAATGTCAGAGTTATCCAATATGAAATTTATCAACTGTTGAATCAAAATTACCCACTAAGTAATAAAAAGTGATTACTTATCAAAAAGGAATATTGACATGTTTTCCTATTAGTTTATTTATATATATAATATATACAAGTTGTATTTATAATTATATTAATGAAAGATGAAGAAATTTATACAATTAGGTTAAAACAAATTAACCCATGAGGTCTTTTCTTTTGGTAATATGATACAGCCATATATATATATATCTGAAACAAAATATTAGAAATATTACAATAATATACAAACCAAAATATCTAGAACCCCTTGACTGAATCTTGTAAATATTTAAAGTAGATGGGCCAACTATTGCTGTATTCTAACTACCAGCATAACATGAAATGAAATGAAATGGGGTTTAACGCCCTACTGTTCTGCTCCTAAACTGGGCTAATGAAGACGGGCATACGCCATACAGTGTGATATGACGGAAATTTTGCCCGGGCAGCGGCGCTACGGCCTACTCTTATATCGAATTCCAACTGCCAAGGGATCTTTTACGTGCCAGCTTCTTACCCACTTAGCCACGTGATCCCCACCAGCATAACAAAGACAGCCCACTACAATCAACATTTAAGTTTGAATGCCATGATATATCAACAATTTCGGTTGTGATGGAACTAGAACTAGCATTGACAGAAACATTACAACATTAACTCCTGATGGATATTCTTTTATTCATCCTCCAAGATTAAAGCCTGATGGTGGAGTTGGATTGTTGTTTGTTTCATTGAAAAAGCAGCATGAGACAAATTTGACAACTTCTTTAAAATTTGCACGATTTTTATGAAATTTGGAATGTAAGCCGATCTGACTGATGCGACTTGAACGAAGTCATTAGAAATTTTCCAACTTATCTCCCCTTGGTGAATTGAAGGATCAAAGTTTTTTTAAAATTTGAAAAAAGTAAGTCATATGGCCTTGTAAATTTCTTTCTGTACTAGCTATGGAGTATTTTGGGTATTTGAAAATTTCAAATTTCTACTTTGACTTTGTTTTGTGCTGACAAAGTTGTTTACGAGTAATAAGTCTGCATTAATGGCTTAGAAATATTCAGAATAGGCTGTCTTTTCGTGAATTTCATTTTCTGATCCATCCTGTTTTTAAACGGCTTGATCCATATTTCTGAATCTTCTGGAACAGGAAGTCAATCCGATTAAAGCAATATAAGTCTCAGTTATCTCCCTTTATTTTTCAGATTATTTTTTCGCTGGCTATATTTAGGCTTACAACTTCGCGAGCTTTTGACCGATTTTAATAATTTTTTTTGTTGTTGAGATTCTTTATATAACCCATGACATGTGACAGGAAGTGACCGTGAATATAAAAGCTTTCATATCTGCCTAGCAGATCTACTTATTATTGTTATTATGTATATATTTCTATTTTATTTGTATTCTTTAATTGTAACATTGTAAAGCACCCATGAACACTATGTGAAAGAGCGGCTATATAAATTTTGTAATAATAATGACTAACAGATAATTTTGATACAGGAAATAAATATCACCAGTATTGATCGTCATAACTGCTGATCTGTGTATCTATCAAATTTATCTACCTTTATATTCTAACAAAATAGATGGACAATTTCCTTTCCTTTAAGAAAGTCATCACTTTTTTCATCGTTAGTGTATTATAATCTTGTATGCAGCATTCATTCTATATCTTACAATCTATCCATTTTCTTATTAGATGATATATTATGTGAATTTCATTGTTCACAAAAATCATTTAAGAGTCTTTCAGAATAACTTCAGTAAATAGTCTTTTAATACATACTTTGTATTATTACTAAAAAAAAATATACATATACCGGTACCATTAACTTACATATAAAAGTTTAATCCTATAAAGCTCGCATTTAGAAATGTTTTAAGAACTCTTCAGCACTGATTCTAGCTCGTGAATTAACTGCTAATTTCATCTCATTTATTTCTTTATCAATTTCTTCCATAAATGTTATGAGAAAATCCACCAGTTTGTGTTTTAACATTTGTTCAGCATGGAAATTGGTAATCAAAAAACTGATATCATAACCCTGAAAAAAACCCATGGGAATATTGCATATAATATTAGAGAAAAACAAAGATGGCTGATAAAGTAATACAGGGAGAGAGAAAAAAAAATGGGGTTTGAGATCCACTCAACATAATCTAGGTACAACAGTTTGGGAACATATGACACATAATTGGCGCACCATAGCTAGCAATTCTCAAAAACAAAGGGCATATATATAAGTTATAAGAACACTAACAGGTAATTGCAACACACAAAATAAACAAATTTGACAATTTACTAAAAACATATTAGGTTATAAGTTAAGCTTTTTGATGTCATACTAATAGCCGACATCACTAACTCTACAGTCACAATGTAGAGTACATTTTGTAATAGAAAAAATAGTGCATGTAGAATCTACTGGTACAATAACAAAGGTCTTGAGTGACAGATTGATACTGCATCTAATATGAATACAATATCATGCACATGAATTTCTATGAAATCATCACATAAATCCAGTAGCATTACTTTAAATAATGGTACACCAACATCAAACGAAGTATATTAAATAGGGATATAAAGAAACAAAATGTACTGAAAGTCAACATACCTCCACTGGTTTCCTTCTTAAAATAAAGAAATTTTCTGCTCTCATCATCATGAACCTCATAAATTTATGACATAAAATTTTCTCTATTTCATCAGCCTACAAAATAATTGCGATTATTATTGAAATCAATGAAACTGAAACCTAAGTTTTGTTTTACAGTAACACAACTAAATAACAAATATCAGCTTGTAGATAATATTCTTTAAGCTGCTGATTGTTATTTAAATGTTCAAACCATAATCTTATCTTAAACAACTTATTCCATACTAACACGTACTCCAATTGATTTTTAACATTAAATTAAGAAAACAAAGTCAAAATATCAATGGCAAATAATCTTCCAGCTTGGGTTAGAGAAATCCATCAAAAGATCTTAAACATTCATATTTTTGTAAATAACTCCAGCAGTAATTATCGGAAATTGTTGAAAATCAATAGGCTTCTTTGTCTCATGACCTTAAACACTGTGTATAAATTTAAAGTTAATTGGATATTAACTTTGACCTCTAGAGCGTCCACAAGATTTTTTGAAGTGATCAAGGGCCATAACTCCGACAGTAATTATCGAAAATAGCTGAAAATCAATAAGCTTCTTCGTCTCATGACCCTAAACACTGTGTATAAATTTAAAGTCAATCGGATATTAACTTTAGCCTATAGAGCGTCCACAAGCAATTGTGGATGCCGGACGGACTGACGGGGGCGACAACAATATACGACCACATTTCAATGTGGGCGTATAAAAAACAATGACTGGTGATACAACGTCCTACAAAGACTTGGCTAATGAAGACGCGTATGCACCATGCAGTGTGCTATGCGAGCACTTTTGCCCAGCCAGCATGGCTACAGACTGCTCTTATTTCAAATTATAAATAGAAAATACAAGTAGAGGACGATAAAACCCCCACACTCGATAATTAAGGAGGACGGAAGATTCCCTAGAACTCTGGCTGATGAAGGGCTATTAGCCCGAAACATGTACTGGACTTAGAATATAATTTTTAAAAACCATCTACTTAGTGTTGTGAAGTCTGTTCCTGGGGATTCTCTTTTTTCAAATTATAAATGTTAATGGTTCTTTTACGTTCATGCCAATGTGTACACAGACCTGTTTTTTATCCCATCCGATCTACTAGACATTGTTACGTCATGCCAGGTACTTTTCGCTGGAAAACAGGAAACCTTTTCGGCCACCACTGGGATCAAACCCTGGACCTCCTGGTTAGTGGGCCAGCACCTTACGCACTATGCCACTGTGGCTCCAGTAATAGTAACAAACATACATATACTTGTGTTGTAATTTAAGTTCAGTACACCTACCTGTTTAACAGCTATACTGATACGTAATGAATTAATGGAACCTTCTATTAAAACTCTTTCTTTCTCATTACGACTAACCACTACAGATTGCAGTAATAATTCTTTACTTGATCTAATTAAAGGAGACAAAAAAGAATATTATAAATTATTCTATTATAGATACGAGCATTTACACTCAAGCTCAATCAGCTTAGACACAAAAATAATACCTGCATTTACTGTTACATTCTTGACCCCACAAAAAAAGGGTTGGCCAGAATATCTTATTCTTGCAGCATGGTCACAAGGGATACAATAAAACTAATAAATTAATCTTTGAAAAGCTTATGTACCGTACCTTTATGTTTCAATAAGTAAAGGTTAGCTTTTATTCATACTTTAGTTACTTATGTTGAAATAAACATGTGCAGAATGATAATGCTAAATTGTTTGTTATCCAATAGGCATTATGCATTTCATATATATTCCAAATCTCAATAAAAAAAAACCCTACTTTGTTTCTACTTCTGGTTTATTGTGTCTTTCTACAACTTGTGAGTCAAAATTCTGAACACACATGGCAGCTGTAACTGTGTTACGCACAGCAGTTAAGTAGGGTTTCAATGTTGCCGCCTGAAAAAAAAGATTTAAAACTAATGTAAGAATAATAATGTTTAAGCCCTCTGAAAATAAAATGAAAGATCAGAATGAATATTTAATGTACCGGCAAACAAAAAGTAATATGGTTTTATTGGACAGAAACTTTTTTGTCAGTTAACTGTCTGTCTCTGCACACATTGGTTGTTGAAGAGTTGGCAGAATTCTACCCCTCGAATTGTACCAGTTGAGTAAATGCAAATTACTGTATGTTATCTCTCCTCAAAATTAAACCCATTCCAATCTGGACATAAGAACCAAAATGTAAGCTGCCAAATAAAAAAGGCTGACAGACTCACAATATCTAGGAATAGGCTACCAGATTACTGCCCAATATACATGTAGGGTCTTGCTCAGTACATTTCCTCACCTAAATTGGTCTACATAGTATGTACGTGTTATGTACACATGTACCAATCACTACCAGACAAATAATTTAAAGGAGTGAAACTTTTTTTGAATTAGGTCAAAATACATGTACATTTATAGCATTGAATATTGTTTATTTGATGTGTTATTCATATCAGCGAAAAAAAGATACTTATTTATTTCGAAGAAATTAGTTTCTCTACAAATTTTACTTTTAGATTAAATTATGGCTGACTAAAATAATTAGTTCTTAACACTGGTTTCTGCGAGGTCTAGGATTCTACCAGGTCTAGCCAATCTAAACTAATGCTCAATAGTTCAACTGACATGTACTATGTAGTTAAAACCAGTGTGCTGATTCATCAATATTGGATTTTATTCATATTCACATATCATCAACATGAATGATCATTATTCACGAATATATATATGCAACAGAATTCATTCTCAACTTCAATGCAAGATTGACTTATTGAATAATTATTTTTCTGTTGGGCTAAATTAAGGAAGAAGGAAGTTGGACACAATCCCAATGGCCAATATATGCTGATTGAATTTAAATAGGTTTGGCTAGTAACTTAATTTTATCAATGTGAAGAGCTATTAATAGGCATAGGCCTAGATAGTAGATGGGACAGTAGAAAACTCCAGAGTCAAGGAAGTACTGTGGGTTGAGCAACTTAAATGTTTATTTACATATGATTTTTTGACATACAGCGCTTCTCGGATTTTGGAATCACGGAATTAATAGGTATTCTACATGAAAACTTAATGGCAATGAGTCATTCGCCCAAATTCTTGATAGCAAATCAGATTTTATAAATCCTCGATCAGCCAACCGGCCAAATGTGGCGATTCCTCAAAAAGTTTACATCCTAATTTTTGTACAATGAACAACAACGAAACCTTTAAAAATTGGCAGATTTATTTAATATAGCAGTTTCACAACCGGTTCATTAATTTAATGATTTAATACAATATAAATACTGCTAGAATTAAAGTAAATAATATTAAAGAAAACACCCACCATATTCCTCGCCTGAATCAATCCGGAAGTTGAACTACCGGGTGCGTCAAAGCGCCATCTATCAACAAAAGAGACCCAGTAATATTAAAGCTAAATCAAAAGTAGATCTAACATGACAGCTGTCAGAATTAGGCTAACATTTTTTTTGTAGTTTGAAAACCAAGTAGGTCTACGACAATCAGAAATGCCCAATGTATGGTATAATTTTCAAAGTTTGTTATTTACGAAATTTATTCTGAGACTAAATAAATAACTATATTATAATATAATATTGTTTTTGCCAGGGCAGTGGCATGGATCTGTAAGAAATCACAATATTAATTCCTTACAAAAGCATCTTTACTTACCAAGAAATTAAATTTAATTGGTTTTGAATAATATATTCAAATAAACTAAGACACGACTAATGATTGCCTGGACCTAATATATTTTGTATGAGCATCACGACAAAATATGTGCATAAAGTATGTATTTGATCATTTGACAAACAGGGTTAGCTCCAAGTATACCATCTAATTTGAACTTGACCAAACAAACTGAATAAACCAATGAAGACTGGTATATGGGTTGAGGAAAATTTTAATTATACTAGATAATAAACAAGTATGTAAGTTATTTGCTACTATAGATGCGCTAAAAATCTGTGATCTGAACCGTAATATGTTGAGACAGTTCAGTGATGGTTTTATGACTCAGGAATCCTGACACAACCAATATTCACTAAATTTCAATCACATGGAAGACTTAACCATCATTATTTAGAAAATCATTACTTGAAAAAAGGTGCATGAACTAATCTGTGAGTCTTATTATTAAACCCTTTTCCATTTCAATTGCAAATACATGTATACATAAATAACAGATATATACCAAATTCTGGTTTTTGAAAAGTTATTAGTAATTAACCATCCGAATAAAGGGAAATAACCCAGAAAGAGAAAGTGCAACTAAACAACTAGTTCATTTCAGGACTAATATGTATTTCAATAGTGGTCTTTAGCAGTGAGTAAATCGGAAAAAAAGGGAGATAGTTGTCACATATAAGTGAGGGATCAAAACTGTATCATTTGACTCAGACCTTATGATCTAAAGTGCAGACCAATCAGTTCCCCACCACCACACAGAGAAAAGCACAACATGTGGATCAAAGTGAGTAGGTTTGTTTAGATATCTCATAACAAAGAATCATATCTTGTCAACCACTAGATTTGACAATACTGCAGCATACTTCATGAAAGTGTCCCTCACTCACTGAAACTGAAAAAGACTTGGTTGTTGTAATTTAAGACACGAAATAGTAAACCTGCCCACAAATACTCTCAAAAATTAATAGTTTTGAGCAGAAAATGTACTTTTCCTGATAATTTAGAAACCTCCCATCAGATGGTAATAGAATTAGGAATAAAACTGGGTTTAAAGTTCTTCATTTCTGCACCAGCAGAAATAATAAAGACAGACAAATGGCATGTAAGGACAATTTTGCCCAAACAGTGATTTTTCTGTCTAATCTTCATCAAATTCCAACTGTCAAGTACTCTTTAACGTGCTCGACAATTGGTTTTATGTTTGTCCCATCCCAATGACTAGATGCGTGTCCTTGCCAAGTCCCCTGTTATGTACAACTGACAATGGGGAATTAGACTGGAAAATCCTGAGGAACAACCTTGGCCAACACTGCGAGAGTACTTAGTGGTTCATCCTTTCAAATTAGGAATAAGTTGTGGTCTTTAGAAAGCAAATCACAACACTCTTTAGTTTATGTGTATTTTATTTTTTTTCATCTTGTGATTTTTTTTAACATTTAATACATACATAAAATATACAAAACATTTTCCAATAATCATCATGTAAAATATACTAATTAGCAATGTGAATATACAAACACACAGATATCTTATATAATATATATACAAGGTGAATAAATATTGATATCTTATATCTACAATGTGAATAACTGTCTTCTTTAATATCATAAACAATGCTATTAATATGCTATCATTAACCAAAGGCTAAATGCAGCCATGTAATTATCAATTTCACTAGATTAGCTGGTTTTATTGAACAAATTAAATAATACCGTACTGGTAATTTTTTTAAAATCAGTACTTGGTTACTGGTATGTATCGCCATCTTCAGAATCAACAAAAGAGATCTTGTAATAGTGAACTGATTGGTCAACCAAGTTTAATTTCTGATTAATAAAGGTTTTCCTTAGCCAGCAAGTTACAAAGCACTGGTTAATAACTCCTTCAGGAATTTGCAGTGTAATAGGAAAATTTATGGTTATATTTGTAGACTGTAAAATTGTGGAAGGTTTAATTTATTGCCCATATATACTATTTACAAATTGTCAACATAGTAACATGTAAATATCTTCATTTATAGAGAAAATAAACCTTATTAAAGCACTTCTCCATAATACAGTCAAATACATGAAAATGAGTGCCTGATCACAGTCAAATATACGAAAACGGGTGCCTGAGTGATTACAATACTGAACACATTAGTGAACTAATGGTCTGATGATCATAAATCTATGCAGTAATATCTTTTAAAATTGAGACAGTAAAAATGGACATTACATCAAATTCTGTAAAATGTCAGTCATGGATTAACTTTATTAACATGTAACCTCGTGCTCAAACAAATATATATTTGTATGACTAGTGTTTTAAAGGCTGTTCGAAATAATTTTTAGGTATTCATCATTCCATGTCAATTGAAACTAATTGAATTTGATCTGTTTTTGTGTGTGCTATGATTTTATTTTTACTAATATTAATTTAAGGTCATATATATAACAAGTTGTGTTGTACTCTTGTATATACAATAGATTTACTGACAACTAACAATTGGTAATAAATAAATGATATAATTTAACCAAATATATTAATGTCAATTCATATATTTACAAATGTATACACACACTTTCTTAAAAGTTTTTTTCGCATTTCTGTGTACTTATATTGGAATGACACAAGTAATTACAAAGTTTTATTATCTCAATATCAACCAAAAATACTTGCCCACTGATGTAATAACTAGTTCAAAATGCATCACTGAAAATGTTGGGAATCTTTGCATTATAAAATTATAAATATTAAAATGTTTTTCCACATACCATAAGGATGCTAATCATATTGCTCATAAATAACAATTCGACTAAATACAGTCCTTTGTTTTATTTTAAGTTCACACAAAATCATACCACGCGAACGGGAGAACTATTTGAGCAGTCGAGATCTGGTGAAAATCATTTTGATTTTGATAGTTAATACTTGTTACATGGAATAATTTCCCATCAGTAACATTTCTCAACTATTGAAAATAGATATACTTTGCTGCATGTTGCTACACATACTAGACATATGCAATGATTTTCTATCACTGTAAAGTTTGAATTAAGTTTAAATGATGTAGTTTAATCAGTAGAACAAGCTGCGAGGTTGAATCAATAACACACAATCTTTAATTAATACATTGACAATTATGCGTACAGTAATACAGTCTGTTTGCTATTCCATGTCATTGATGAACATATGGCCACTCATTTTAATACGGTTTGTAAGTCAAATGAAATTAATTCACAACTAATTTCATATTAATAACAGTTTCTTTAATATTACTACACCATAGACATCCATCTTTAATGCCCAGATTCATATTTCATGTTCCGTCCATGTTCAGACAGTTAACACCTAGTACAATATACTCCATAGTCTCTCAGTCATCTTATTGTTAATTAACTATATGTTGAACTATGATGATAGAAATAAAGATTCCTCACAAAACTTGAGCTGCCAGATTTTACCTGCATATTCATCAAACTTATCTTTACCCAACAAAGCAACCAACTTTGGCTATAAAAAAAGGAATATAATATGAAATTTTCATTATACATGTATTTACAAGTAAAATTAAACAACAACAAAATAATAAAGACATAAAATGAAGACCCAGGTTTGATTACTGTCACGTGGAACTGATCAAATTCATGTTCATTAATTTACTACTTTTAACTACTGAACTTCTTTGAGAAAAAGAAGAAAGTACCGTATTGTCGAAACATTGTATGTTAATAAACCAGTAATTGTAATTCCATAAACAGTGTATTAACTACTCAAAACTGTGTTATAGTGAAAAGCTTAGATATCTAGGGTCCCAATAATCTCGGGACATAACACCCCTTTAATTTTGAAACAGGAAGTGTTGATCAACTAATTAAATCATAATTACTCAAGTCCGTGTTTTACTGAAATGCTGGCATAGTCTACTTTACAACTATATATTTACAGTATAAAAGAAAACATACCTCTACTTCATCTTCTTCTATTCTATTTAGAATATGATAGGCTTCTTTTACTTTTGCATAACCAACACCCTTTACACAATCACTACAAATAGACAAATTGTTTTAAAATGACTGAAGAAATTTCCAATATTGATTTGACTAAAGAATACTGACATTCAATAGCCATGCCATTCTGTGAGAAGACTCTAAAAAAACATTTATGTCATTCCCGTGCATTTATGTCATTCCAGTTTTCATGCGCAAATATGGTGATAAGTTTCCAGGTTTAGTGTCAGGATAACTATGTCTATAAGGTCGTCTTGTGTGATAGTCAAGATTATCAGGTCACTGATCAATACCAATAAACAGTACAGCAAATATCAGACTTACAAAACCCTCTAAATTAACTCTTCAGCAACTTTGACTTATTAATGTGAACACAAACTTTACAAAATTTTGGTGTTTAATGTAACTGTTCCATTAAAACATTGTATGAATGGGTGGAATGGGGGTTGAACAGAACTCAACACAATTAGATTATTTCGACGCTGATGCAGCCCTACTCCTTTTAACATGTTATAATAGGAAACTTACGTATGAAGTTGTTGAATTCTTTTCATGAGACGTGAATTATCACTCAGTGTTTCTATACTTGGCATTGACATAGATTTATGTATAGGTAGACTTTCGTTAGGTTTCAGTGAATTATTTGAGGCAGGATGATCAACAATGTCTGTCACTTCAGTATCTTCAATTTCTTCGATTGGTTTTAACGTTTCAGCCTCTTCATCATCCTCATCAGATTTCTCTTTCTCTTGTAGAAGTGTCGTATTCAACAGTGTTATAAAATTATTCATTTCTTTCGTCTCCCTGAACAGAAAAAATATGAAAATAAGTAAACATTTCAATTAGAGGTAAATTTTGGATTCTTTTATCTTGTATTAGGGCTGGGCAATATCTGAAATTTCCTTTATTCAAATGGTTTAACGTGTGAGCTTTAGATCTTAAAGATTCCCTGCTTGTATGTGACAAGGAGTAGGGTCACCTGTCCAGCCTCGTGGGTTTTCTCTGGGTCCTCTGGTTTCCTCCCATAGCTAAAGACTCCTACGAATTATTGAAATAAAATTGAACCATATCTTAGTCTCTAGTTGAGTGGACCATAAATCTCTCTCTGATAATTTGAATCATTGTAAAGCCAGGCTTTCAATTTTTTTCAATAAAATACAATAATCTTTCAGAGAATATTATTATTGCGATATTTCAGAAAATATTTCAGAAATGGCGATAATCTAAATGGTATAATGGATTATTGTGGTATTTTTAATGATCAAAATATATTGTCATTAAAATTTCAATATTGCAATATTGATTTTTTGAAATTATTGTTCAGTTCTCCCTATATATATAGATATGGTAGTCTACAATTTAAAAACTGTATTAAATTTAAAAAAGAAAAAAACAACAATAAAAGGAAATAATAAAAAATAATTTTTGATACATCATTTGAAATACACATATCCTGGATTAGTAAGCATATATATTCAATTAACACAATAGTTCATCTTTGAAATGTGAACTATTGCCCAAAATTCACTTTACAGAGTGGTTAAAATTTGATGATAATTTGGAATCTGATACCACGGCCCAGTTCCTTGCAAAATCTTAGGTTGAAGTCGATTTCTATTAAAATCTATCCCATTTATTTCATATATAGATTCAATGTGAATAAAATAATGGTTGGTAGATCCTGGTTTTCGTGCAAAAATGGAAATAATAGCATTTATTTTCTTGTGATATTATTTTGAAATTTAACTACAATGTTTTGAGAAATTTTCCCTTTTTTGCTTTTTGAATTGTGAGCTGGGTTTCTTTTTTTTTTTTTTATTGAAATGACATGAAACGTCCTACTTTTCTGCACCAACCCAACCTTGGTACACCATGCAGTGTGCTAAGAGGGAAATTTTGTCTGCACTATGGCCTATTCTTAATTCGAATTCAAGATGTCAAGAGTTATTTACATGCACACCATCCAAACGACTAGACAGCTATCCTTGTCATGCCTTTCGTCCTGCACCACTGACAAGGGGAAGTCACACTGGAATATCAAGAGAAACTTTCTCGGCCAACACCAGGATCAAACCCAAGACCTCCTGGCTCCCTTTTTTATGTGTGGTGTGGTTCTCCTGCACTTATTACTAGAGATAAGCACAAAAATGGATAAATATTTGTCCTGGAATTGAGTCCTGATATTAGAATCGGGTATCTGCTTTCACATTAGTAATGTATTGTTTAAAACAACTGCATCAAGCAAATTTGTGGTTATTATTAACTGAAGATGATTATTAGTTATATATCTGCTAGCTTTTCATTCATTTTCCAGTAGGCTAAGTAATATTTTTTAATTCCAATAAAGTATACTTGTCAAAATTAATTAAAGGGGAATTATGTAAGATTAGATAGAGAGCTGACAGTTCTTACTATAATAGTTAAACAAGCGGTTGCCATGCAAGATGCCTTCACATTTTGTAAGAGACGGACAGGAGCCATAATCCAGAAAGTTGGGGTCTGATATGCTAAAATATTGCAAGGAACCCATACCTTTGGGATATAAACATATGTTTTAAGCTTCATTAAAATCAGAAAAAAATTGTGACCTCTAGAGGGTTCACAACCTTAGTATTACATACTTTTATACTTTTTGCGTAAGGGAAACAGCCATTTTGTCAGGCAGTTTCGGTCACCTTTTCACACAATTCGAACTCAAGTGTCATTAAGGTGTAACGGTGACATATTTCAAAGTTTTTTCAAATCGTATAAAAATTTTGACCTCTAGCGGGTTCACATGCTAAAAACATGATTTTTCCTACAATCAAGAGCCATAATCCAGGACGTTACACCATAATATCGAAATGAACCAAGATCTTTGGGATATAAACGTAGCCTTGATAACCAAAGTCTCAATTATCCATTTTTAAATTAAATCATTAAATGACTGAACCGTTCTAATCTATTTATAATCTGAGCCATCCGATGGCATTGAGAGTTGCTTATGGTCTTGTCATGTTTTTTAATGTCTAATTAATAATTTATGTAACATTTAAGGTCTAAAGAAAGATTTGCAATAGGCAGATTTCACTCTTGCGTTATTGCCTGTTTAAGTTTTCTTGTAGTAAATCATTCACTGCTAAAATTAACATGCTTCACACACAATCTTGCAAAATCTTACTATAACATTTAAATGGGATAACAATATCCATTCTTGATTTAAATAACAAAGTGCAAGTATGAATCTTGAATGATGCATCTGACAAATAAACTAAATAAAGGAGGCCTATCATTTTAAACACAATTGCATCAAATCAAAAATAAATTACTAACCAGTGAAGTCCTCAAAATGTCAATGCCTCGTTATATCCAACATATTAAAATGTTAATTAATAAATATATTAAGCCTTATAAACCAGAGCTCCCATATGGCCATGTCATATCATAAAATTTAATAATGTTCAACTTTAAATGGCTTAAAAAGCTAAATAGTCAATCAAATCAAAACAAAAAAGATTCTTTTTAAAAAGCATTTTCAGATTGAATTTGAAAATCATAACGTGTACAAAGGTCTAAATGGTAGCCTAATATGTTTTGAAGTGAGAGCCCTGTTATAAATCCTTCACCATGCATGTAATGTTAACAATATGGGTCAATAGGCTGGATATTTCATGCTATATTAAACCCACAACCATATAGCATAGTAATGTATTATATACCTAGAAACTGGATGACAGGGACCCGAGTCAGGTGATTCAGTATTTATTACATATGTTTTAAACCTAGAAAATTATAAACAAACTTGTTGGCATCAAGATATATTTTATATCCTCCATTGTGCTCATGAAATTGCTGACCTTTCAATTCTATTGCCTCAGTCTCATTAACTGAGAATACCTTATTCAAAACAAAGTAAATATATGAGGTGTTTCAATAAGATATTATTCTTACTTTGGAAATGTTGGGTCTTATAAAAATCAGATTGCTCTTTCATTTATTTTTCTTATTTATTTTATACTGTTATTATTTACAGCATTGTATAGTCTAACATCATAATTACAAGAATGTGTTCAACTGCCATGCCTCTCATCTAGCCAATCAAAGCGAAACACAGAGTTAGGCAAGAATGATTTTCACCAATCACAATGTCTAGACATCAGACATCACAAAACACACAAAATACTTACATTTTAAAGTATTGAGACAAACAGAGCCCCCCAAAAATTAATTTTAGTGACGATAAGGAAATACAACACACCTTCGTTTAGCTATTTCTTTAGAGTCTCCTGCTTGTAATAATTCTTCTGATGAAGAACTGCTGTCATCATTTATTGATGGTTGACGTGTAGGCTTCTTCGGATCTACTATCTTTTGAACTACAACCTTCAACAAAAAAAACACGGATATACTCACAGAAAATGCAGATATTTTGATCATAATTTAGCTAGCATCTATGTGTGGACTACTAGAAGAAAGTCAAGAAAAACAGTTACCCATGGGCCAAAACTGTACAGCTGTAGCAGTACATTATAGTAACATAAAAATTATAGGACTTGTTTCCCAAAGCACAGATAAGATATGGCTGTATTAAAATCTAACATTTTACTATATAACTCTATTGAACTTAAGTGTAAAACCCCCTCTCCCTCCTCGCACTCCAGAAAAAACCCACCAATTCAAACCAAAACAAGTAAAATAGCTTCTAAGGTCAAATGCTGATTTAACCTAAGGAATTTGATTTATATCTATCCAGTGGTTTTGTATTTGAAAATGTAAATAGTTAATTACATTTGACAAGGTAAAAGATGTATTCTTACTTGTTTCTTTTCTGAACGTGTAACTTTCTCTGACAGGCGACGTTCTGGTGGTCGACGTAATTTTATCTTAGCTAAGTGATGATTATCTGAGGCTAAAAATAAATAGAATATTTTATTTTTCATAATATATTAATGTACAGTATCTATACGCAAGTCATGGGTTTGATCTCAGGCTTGAACATGACAACGAACAGGGTCACCTGCCTAACCTGGTAGGTTATCCTTGAGCTCGAAAATCGTGCGCTTACGTTTTTAACACAAAAAAAAATATTCAAAAAATTACGTTAATAACATCTAAATAAAATTCTACCAAACATCAGAAGTCAATTCTCGTTGTTTATTCCTCGTTACGAACTAAATAAGTAAGTGCAGGGGGCCGCACTACACGCAAAACAAAAATCTACAAGATAAACCTGCGGACAAGACAGAAAATAGGCATTGCACCGAATAAACAAATATCAAATCAAGTGAATGGATCCGGTTGATAATACACATGTAGGGGCCCGCATACTATGGAATAAGTTACACTGTATATGATTGGATGAATTCCGCAAAATGGCGCGTGTAGCAGTCATTTCGGCTAATGAGAAAGCATATTATAAACTGTAAGACAATCGCTAATATTCAACCGCGAACCTGAATAATCAATTTTTTCATTGGCTAAAATTATAACTCCTGTCATTATTATTCAAGTATTACCCAATCATATCTTGTGTAATAAATAACGCACGCCTTACAAAATGGTGAGCTATGCCGGGACATAGGTAAATTCGCGTACCGGTCGGCCTAATTTATTGATGTTCAAGGAAATAATAGTGGCCCCGTTCGCTCGTTTCTGGAGTTTAACAAACGAACGAACAAACGGGACCACTATTATTTCCTTGAACATCAATAAATAAATTAGGCCGACCGGTACGCGAATTTACTTATCTCGACTCGACTTTGGTGGTTATTCCCAGCACTTTCACGTTCGATGATATTATCGAAACCATCTATAACTCAACAAGCGAATCAAATTATAACTGGAATGTTTCCATTGTATTTTAACACAAGAATACGGAAAATTTATATCAAAATATGGTTATTTCATTTTTTAAAAAGTTAAACAAAGAAGCCACTTGTTACCAAATTTTAGTTTGTTATTAAATTTATTTAATTAAATATTATCTGTGTTTTTATTCTAACCAATAATATAACTAGATTATTTATAATATTATTAAAAATGGTACACAACCCTCAGACTATATAGGTATTATGCCAGACCACTTTGTGTTTTGAAACCCACTTTGTGTTGTGTTTACCGCACTACCGCACATGATTGCCAGAGTGGTGGCAGGAGAAACAAGGAATCAATTCAACACGGCCTAAGCCAACTCCTCATAGTTTCATATTAAATAATATCCACATATAGTTTCATAAGGTTTTCTCCATAATGTATCTTCTAAGTTTCTAAGAAAATGAAGAGAAACTAAGTTTCTGAGAAAATGAACCTTCAAAGAAAACTTAACCAGCCTTTCACTGGGATATACTGTGTACTTTACATTCAAGTTATTAAAGGGGATTGTTACTTCATATAATTTTTGTATTTGAGGAAAAGAGTCATTTTATTTGTGGATATTGTTTGCCCTGTCCAGTAAAAAAAGTGTGTTCTCCCATCAAAAATGTATTAAAACACAGTGTTGCTAAGAAAGAAATATATGCATCAGGAGTTTTCTGACGGTAAGAGTGTGCGTGTTCTGAACTTTTAATATAAATATGGCAGCAATCAGCCAGAATAAAAGTTAAATATAAACACACAAAAAAACTATTTATGGAATAACTATTATTGATTTATTAACAAATTTTTTTTTTTTAGTGTGTTAGTGTTCAATTACTAATTGCCACTCAAATAAGTTAAATATAGTTTAAGATAAAGGTACTTTTGTTAAGGCAGGACACTACCTAAGAATTTTACATTGATAACAGAAACTTGCCATTTAGTGTAATATTAGTATATGATGTCCCAAATCAGATTTGATAATTTGAGCGCAAAATGTTTATTTGTTGTCATGGAAATGGTGGCCATATTGGATTTTTTTATATATTCATGGTGGCTATGTTAGGAAATCAAAATCTTCAACAATTTTATTGAAACAAACTATTTGTGATTTGGAATAACATATATAGGCATTAAAGAGTGCAATAAGGCATAAATTTTACTATTTGAATGTTAAGGCCGTGTTGAATTGATTCCTTGTTTCTCCTCGCCCGCGCGCTTAGGTCGAGGACCCCGAAAATCGTGCGCTTACGTTTTTAACACAAGAAAAAAAATTCAAAAAATTACGTTAATAACATCTAAATAAAATTCTACCAAACATCAGAAGTCAATTCTCGTTGTTTATTCCTCGTTACGAACTAAATAAGTAAGTGCAGGGGGCCGCACTACACGCAAAACAAAAATCTACAAGATAAACCTGCGGACAAGACAGAAAATAGGCATTGCACCGAATAAACAAATATCAAATCAAGTGAATGGATCCGGTTGATAATACACATGTAGGGGCCCGCATACTATGGAATAAGTTACACTGTATATGATTGGATGAATTCCTCAAAATGGCGCGTGTAGCAGTCATTTCGGCTAATGAGAAAGCATATTATAAACTGTAAGACAATCGCTAATATTCAACCGCGAACCTGAATAATCAATTTTTCATTGGCTAAAATTATAACACGTCATTATTATTCAATTGTGTAATAAATAACGCACGCCTTACAAAATGGTGAGCTATGCCGGGACATAGGTAAATTCGCGTACCGGTCGGCCTAATTTATTGATGTTCAAGGAAATCAATAAATAAATTAGGCCGACCGGTACGCGAATTTACTTATATCGACTCGACTTTGGTGGTTATTCCCAGCACTTTCACGTTCGATGATATTATCGAAACCATCTATAAGTAACAAGCGAATCAAATATCGTCTAACTGGAATGTTTCCATTGTATTTTAACACAAGAATACGGAAAATTTATATCAAAATATGGTTATTTCATTTTTTAAAAAGTTAAACAAAGAAGCCACTTGTTACCAAATTTTAGTTTGTTATTAAATTTATTTAATTAAATATTATCTGTGTTTTTATTCTAACCAATAATATAACTAGATTATTTATAATATTATTAAAAATGGTACACAACCCTCAGACTATATAGGTATTATGCCAGATCACTTTGTGTTTTGAAACCCACTTTGTGTTGTGTTTACCGCACTACCGCACATGATTGCCTGAGTGGTGGCAGGAGAAACAATTTAGGAATCAATTCAACACGGCCTAATAAAGAACATTATGCATCCCACATAAAACAAGTGGGTGTGGCCGAACACACCACTAAAAGGATTTTGTACAATAAAATGTCCAGATGTATAACAAACACTTTGAAAATCACCTTATTGCAAACAGTAGCTATAGCACTAATCGTATTCCAAAGATGAGACCATTATCTCTCATAGATTTTGAGAATTTGATTTTCTAAGACCTGATAAGGGTGAAAAATTGAGTACGGAAAAAAGCAAGTTAAAAGTTAAAAATTTGATTTACCTCTACAAATGACTAAATATTTAACACTATATAATATAAAGGCTGGACACGACTTGAAAAATCAACAAATTTTAACTATTTTGGGCAATTTTAGCTGATATCAAAATTTAACAGATCAATCTATACAGAGTGTTTAATAAGGTAGTGTCCTGCCTTAAAACAAATTCTAGTCCAAAAATAATTGAAAACATCAATTTCAGCTAAGTTATGGCCATTTTCTGAAACCTTAGTATACTTACAGGCAGATGTTTGACTATCTCGTAACCGTCTTCGTTCTCTTGCTGATAAATTTGGTAAACTCTGAAAATAAATTGGACACTTTCTTGTCTGTGTAAAGATAGGTTGCCAGGCAATGAACATACTACCCTATTTTACACATGTCATACCAATTTCAAGGATATCAGATGGTGACATTATTACAAATTGAAACCAGATTCATAACAATAGAAGTAATTAACGAAAATTGTTGAAATTTGATAGGCTACTTCATTTCAATAATCTAAATACTGCATATTAGGCCACACAAAAAAAAAAACAGTCTGGTTCTCAGAAACCGCAGTGTCATCAAAAATGGATTGTGCCACACGTTTTTATTTTAAAAAATGAATAAAAGCAAATTCAATGATTTCCACTCGTTCTACTGAAGGTTTCTTGATAACAGGAATTGAACACTAGACTCGGCTATCAAGTACGTAACCATGGGAAACACAATTGACAACCACGAACGGCACTGGATATTCAAATTTTAATTTAGGGGGGTTGGATGGCTGAATGGTTAGCGCATGCGCATTGTATCATAAGGTCTGTCATTGACTCAATTGGCCTGGTTTCGATTCCACGGTTGTATGTGACAAGGAGTATGGTCACCTGTCCAGCCTCGTGGCTTTTCTCTGGGTCATTTGGTTTCCTCCCACTGCTAAAGACCGCTACACGCAATCGAATTGTTGAAATAAAGTTGAACTGTATATATATATATATCTATTTCAATAATATACTAGTGGGAGGGAAAACTGAGACCCACAAAAAAACCAATGATGCCATCCAGATGGCCTTACTCTTTGTAAATATAAGCCTGGGATCGAAAATCACAATAACAGATTTCTAAGGTGCATACTTTAAACCACTCAGCCATGGTGGCTCAGTCAGGTACCGGGTTCAATCCCAGTGTTGGCTAAGAAATTTGTGGTTTATCCTTGTCAGTGAAGAAAGGAGAGTCTGGCAATTAATAGCGTCTAGTCATTCGGATGGGATGAAAAACCAAACTCCACCTGTGTACACACTGACGTTCAGAAAAAAGAACCCCTGTCAGTTGGAATTCAGCAAAGAGTCCAGGCCAAATTTTTCCAAATAGTCCATATAACGAAAAAATGCTGAAAGTTAGTAAAGGAGTTAATCGATAAAATTTGTTTTAAATAAAACTGCCATATTTTTCTGAATAATATCGGGTATCTGTTTGATGAAAATATGAGTACGCTTTGATTCATGATCTTTTTCAAGTGAAAATAATTATTTATTCTAAAATATAATCGAAAAATGTTATATACATGTTTTTGATTCTAGAAAGATGACCAATTCTTCAAGTACGTGTTTTTTGATCAACGAAAGTTTAAATACAAGTTTAACAAAAAAATGTTAAAATAATTAGTTTTGAGCTTTCGAAAATTTATAAAAATAGAATAAGATAAAAAAAATTCATGTGTCTGATATATTTCATATTACAACTATTTAATATAATTTTCTAAAAGATTTGTCGTGATTTTGAAAAACTGAAAAGTACACAGTTCCTGATACAATGCCAAAGGGCTAATATGAGTAGGACAACGGAATCTGCAGTGACTCAGTGTGTAAGGCACAGGCTCGCAAACCAAGGCGTCCCGGGTTCGATCCCGGTGATGGCCTAGAGAGTTCCCCCGAAGAGGGGCTGGCAAGAAACAGCGTCTAGTCGTTCGTATGGGTCGAAAATCGAGGTCCCATGTACACTTTCCCGTACACGTTAAAGAACTTTTGGCGTTAGGCGGTAGTTCTTATAGCAAAATGCCCACCCCACCCCCACAGCACACTGTATGGCGTATGCCCGTCTTTATTAGCCCAGTAGGAGCACAATAGTGGGACGATAAAACCCATGTCATTTCAAATTTTTAGACCATGTGACCAATACACAATTTTGGAAAACTGAAAAGTACACAGTTCCTGAGGCAATCACAGGGATAATAAGGAGTGTGTGTAGGACAACGCGGGACTGTGGTGGCTCGCTAACCAAGAAGTTCCGAGTTCGATTTCGGTGTCGACCGAGAATGTTCCTCGGGATTTTCCAGCGTGGTTTGCTCTTGTCAGGGCTGGGAAGGAACAGAGTCTAGTCTCTCGGATGGGACGAAAACCGAGGTTCCGTATACACTTTCGCATGCACGTTAAGGAACCCATGATATCACACTGCATCGCGTCTGCCCATTATCCCGGTTGGTGCAGGCAAGTGGGATATTAAACCACATTCCACTTCATTATATTTAGGACAAGGTATTTACAAACCTATTAAAGTCCAGTCATGTCGTTGGTGGAAAATGTCAGACGACGTGACCAATAAAAAATAATCAGTGGATATAATTCACCAAAAAGATTTTGCCGATCTTCGTCTGAAACAGTACCGCATTTTTTCGTCTTGAAATAATTCAGGTTATGATCACATCGCTTACCAAGCTTTCTTTCCCCCCTCTCAGTGTATTCATGTTTACCGGTTTCATGATTTTTCCTGTACCCGGAGTAATGCTTGCCTTCCATCCGTAGTCTCTTATTTTGTATTGTTTTCCAGTTATCTCTATCCACTATACCCTTCCTCTTCTGTGTTAGATTTTCATTGGTATTAAGGTCTTCATCCATCTGTTCCTGATGTCTACCACCTTCATGATGTCCTTCATCTTCATCTTCTTCTATTCCCTGCTCTCCGTCTGTGCCATTGTCTTTTCCATATTCATCACTTTCGTCTCCATATTCCACATCATCGCTTTCATTCTGTTGTCCTTTCTGTTCTTCTTCTTTATCCCTTTTTACTCTGTAACAATGATCGCCACGTCCTCCTTGGTCATGAGCACTTTTCAACTTCTTAAAATTTCTCTCTTGTCGAACGTCACCTCTCGTTTCTCCATATGTACTCCCCTCTTCTCTCTCACCAGCTCTGTGTTCTACAAATTCAACTCCGATGTCCAGCCCCACTTCTGTCTTCCTCATCCGAAAAATCCTGTTCACAGTTCTCATGGCTTTCTTTTCTAGCTACACCCCCTTGTTCTTGTTCTCTACCGCCATATTGTGCTACCAACTTTTCAAGCACTGACGGTGCAGTGCTAGGAAGTACATCTGTACCAGTATCATTTAAAACAAGCTCCTCGTTATCGTTTCGGAATAATACATCAGCTAATAAATATATCTGCTGGATATCGTCATTCTCGGTTAAGGATTGTTCTATTAAGGCCACCGCCCCCTCATCAAGTTCATTAAAAATTGGATCATTAGACCTTTCCAAACCACATATAGGCCTATCTGGTATTAAATTCGTCAAATCATCATTTGTCTTTTCGGTCGGTATTGGGTTCTTCTGGGGACTCGGCGCTCTTTGAGCTGATTTATGCAATGCTAATTGAACAAGTCGCTGACCTCTACTGCAAAATTTCCCATAAAAGCTTTTGTTCCTGATCATCTTTAGGCCTAATCTGTAAAAAGAATAACAATCAGAATTTAGGATAGTCAGAATTTGTGAACACTCCCGTAAATAAACAAATTATGTCATCTGGTTTTTTGCAAGAATCTCTAGAAAAGTAAGAACAGGGGCGTTTAATTGGACCATTTTTCTGTTGTTATGACATCGTTTGGTACGCAGTAAGTAAATACAGCGTAGCTACTGTTCTTGTTTGTAGGCTTAAAGGCTTGTCAAATGTAAAAGCAAGAACATAATTGGACCATTTGTCGATTGTTATGGCATCTTTTGATACCGGTAAGTGTATAGCGTAGCTACTGTTCGTATTTGTAGACTTAAAGGCTTGTCAAATGTAAAATCTGGAACACGTGTAGAAACTGGACCACGTGGCATTTAGTCACAGTGACACATTCAGTGATACATGAACATTACACATTATATTTACTTATTTTTCTGTGCCTGAATTAAACAATGTGATATTGAATGGCACAAAAACAAGGAAACTTTCATAATTATACTAAAGTTTAAAAGAAACTTACGTTTTATCTTGGTACGTCGACGTCTTACTAGGCTAAATGACCTCGTATTATAGTAAATAGATGTCACGTGATAGGAATCTGTAGTATAAAAACCTTGTATGTCGGTTTATACGAGGTTTATAGATTACAATTGATAATATTTCTAATTCAAAACCTTGTATATTATTATACGGGGTTTTGATTGTATGCTATTTTATACGTGATATTTATTTAGACATTTTCAGACATTTAAAACTATCGTAGGTACACAAGGTTTTGATATTCAGAAGCGCGCTTTTACGAGCTTTACAATGATACCAAAAAGTGTTTTGGGCCAAAAATCGGTTATACGAGGTTTCAAGCGGAGACCCACGATATCCTTGATTAGCTGGTATGATGCAGGACGTTAAACCCCATTTGATTTCTCTAATTTAAAAAGAGATTAAAATAGAACTTACGCTATGTACAGGTGTATCTACATCACCACCAACATCTTCTTTAGAACTTGAAACACCTGATGATGAATCAGTTGATTTGGGTTCTTTATTACTTTTATCTCCATTTCTTCTCTGAGGTAGTCCAACACTTTCTACAACTTTTACTGGTGGAGTGGGTAATGGACGGGGTGTGACTACCGGTTTGGGCTATGAAACAAAATGTGTCCATATATCAATAGCATACAAATTAATTAAAGGAGGGATTCCACATATTCTTCTGTGAATAAAACTTGTTTATTTTGTGTAAAAGTGTCTCAGACAGAACCCTTTATTCTAGTTTCAATCAACTATCTGAAAATTTGTGATAGTTACTTAGGTTAAATGAGAGGAGGTCTATAGCTTCACAATGTTTTGGGTTAAAAGAACCTTTATCAAAAGATAACATTTAAAGAAATAACAATGACCAGTCGGAGACGGGAAGGTTTTTGACTAGGAATTGCCAAAATTCTATGGCTATAGTATAGGCCTACTATTCTTCAAATTCCAAATACAAAAGGATATTTTGTGTACTTCCGATTTGGAATCTTGGTTATGGACACTTTCCTTGTCAGTCCAGACTAATAAAAAGTTTCTAAATACTTACATTGCTAAATATAGATCTAGAAGATTTAACACTTGTTATAGAATCAGCATCTGATTTATCATCACCTTCACTTTTACTCTTGATACGATTTCTTAAAAATGCTTTCTTTTTAGGTGTTGTGTCCCCTTTCTAAAAATAAGAATATAAACATAATTACTTATAAAGAATTTTATGTGAAATGTGATATACACCTAACAAACTCAATAATGGCAGGGGAGAGAGAGAAGTCCACTTGAGATAAACTAGATCATTTTGGGACTAACATAAGGTACAACATTATTTCAATAATTCACTTGCCCATAGGGATCTTTATCTGTGGGATATGTATAAGCTAGGGATTAAAACCATGCCACTTGAACTAATGACAGGTAACTCAGCATAAATGTATCAATAATGACCCATGAATAAAAATTGTTTTTGTTGTACTGTATTATTTATCATCACAGACAAATGAATATACTGAGATGAAAGTTGTTATGCTTGAGTCCATTTCAAGGTCGATTCCTGAAACTTGAGACATTTTGTTTGACAATTTTCAACTGAATCTTGGTGTAAATGTTTGTACCATATACATTTAAATACTAACTAAAATATAATTATATATAGACATACAAAATTACAGTTAAACATACATTATGCAAGAGCTAAATCTGCCTATTGCAGGTCTTTCTTTAGGCCTGAAATGTTATCTAAATTATTAATTAGACATTAATTAACTTATCCAGACCATAATAAATTCTCTATGTCAACGCTAGCCTGCCATGTTTACTTGATCTAGGATAGCATTTGCTGCTGCACTTTCATTCTTAATTTAATTATGAAATGGATATCAAAACTATGTTTTTTATCGTACCGACTTAAGTAATGATGATTGAAGCTAGGCCGAAAATTCAAGCACTAAAATTTTCAGCAAATTCCCTTTACATTATCTAGTTTTTAACTATTATAGTGAGAACTGTCAGCTCTCTATCGAATCTCCCATAATGTATCTTTAAATATAATTATATATAGAATAGACATGCAAAATTACATTTATATACTAACTAAAATATAATTATATATAGACTTAAAAAATTCATTAAAAAATAAACATAAAAACTTTCCATATATTCATACAATCAAACAAACTGTTTTAATACCCAAAAATTTACCTTTTTCTTTTCATCTGTTTTAAGTGAACTTTGATCATCATCATCAAAACAATTGGCATTCATATCGCCACCTTGTGGAACTTGAACTTTCTCTTCAATTGGTTCTAGATCTGATCTGGATGACTTGCGTGAAAGATTCGTTCGCACCCCATCTCCCGATTCTGCCGGTCTATTATAAACAGCAGCTTGTTCTACATGATTTATGTAAACACTGTCCACTTCATCGGATCTGGATGGTGGTGTATCATATGATGAAGGGCCTGATCTTGAGTCATCTGGAATGGATAATGGTTTGTTATATGCTGATCTTGGTTGTTCCTGAACAGATTCCAATTTATTGTAATATTCTGAAACAGAAGGTTTGCTGATTTGACAAGGTGCTGATCTGGGCAGCTCTTCTTCTGATGACGGTGTTAATCTTGGGGGTTCTTGTGCCAATGGTGGTTTGCTATATGATGATGGTGATGCACGTGGAGGTGGTAGTGCTGATTGGGATGCAACACTGGCTGATGAAGGACATGGTACAGATAGCTCACTATTAGATGATGGTATAGATTTTAGTAGTGGAGTAATACTGGAAACAGATCGAGCTGATGATGCAGAGCTTGGCCGACTTCTACCTGCACTTGACGGGCGGCGGCTAAAATTAAATAAAACCAACATATCAAGGTTAGAAAAACCAACACCTGCTTTAAGACAAAAGAAAAATTTCTAGAATATGAAATGAAATGAAAAGAAAATAAATGGTGTAATCTGTTCAAAAAAAATTCAATCTTAACAGACATAAATTTAATCAACTGTTTCCATCTATCTGGTGAAATTTATGATTAAAGCAAACCAACCTCTTCTTGGTATCTTCTAGAAAGACAGCTATGTTTTTCTTAATGTAAGAATCTCGTAGAATTTTATTAACACTTGGACGTTTAGCTGGATCCTGATGTAACATCTGACGTATTAAGTTAACTAGTTCAACACTGTATTTCTTTGGCATTAGAGGCATCTAAAATACATGAATAGTTTATCACATTTAAATTTCAATATACATATCTTGAATGGATGCCAATGCCAGCACAGAGATGACATGTAAGTTTACAGGGACTATTCAGTTTTATATTTACAATAATAATATTATAGGATATAAAGAAGCTATCATTTGAAACTATTATGATTTTCTTCCTTGTTAAAAATTACAATATGCAAATTCTTCAAAATAAAAATTATCGTTTAAACTTAATAATATCATGTCCATAAACTACTTAGGCTGTTAATTTGGGACTAACATGTAATAACTTTTTATTTTGTTTATTGTAGTCAATTGTGAAATTTATAGGCATATTTGGGTATTTCTTCAGATTCAATCATTTCTCCCTGCAAGTCAAGTGGGAACTGCATTTCTCCCTGCAAGTCAAGTGGGAACTGCATGAACAATCTCAAAATTCTTTCTTTGTTGACATTTGATGCCCAGAGTCATGACAATGGCCTCCCCGACAAAATATTGATATCTTACCTTTCCTTTCAGAATTTTATAAACCAGAGCATTCATATCCTTAGCATTAAATGCATGTTTTAATGTAGCCATTTCATAAACACAACAACCTAGAGCCCAAACATCTGACTGAAACATGAAATAAATATATTAGTTTGTGTACCATTCTGTGTCAACATTTATTATCATCTTGAATTATAGATTTGAATTAAAATTTGTTTGTATATCTGACTTCAACATTATCAAAGAAATATTATTTACTGAGAAATATTTTGCTCTTTGTTCCAATTCTGATGTCCCATTTGTCTAAACTGATAGATGTAATTTCAACACTTTTTGTGAATGTCTAATAAAGGAATCATGATAGAACATTTACCTTGTGATTGTAGTGTTTATTTGCAAATAATTCAGGACTCATATAATATGGGGTTCCTATTAATGTGGATGCCATGTCATTAGCACTTTCTAACACTCTGAAGAAAAGAAAAGATATATAATATAAAGATTATTAATTACAAGCAGTATGGAAATAATACATGTGATATAAATAAAATACTGAAATAATACGTGTGATATAAATAAAATACTGAAATAATACATGTACATGTGACATAAGTAAAATACTGAAATGATACATGTGTTATAAATAAAATACTGAAACAAAACATGTGATATAAATAAAATACTTAAATAATACATGTGATGGTAATGGAATGTTATTATTACATGTTTTGGGGTAATGGTCATGTAACCAGTAATGGAGGATTTAAATAAATAAATAGTTTAGTCATATATACAGATATATATGTAAACAAAAGATGAGTGACACAAAACAAATTTAATGTAGACTTTATACATATTTAGGAGTCCATGAGGCACGGTATGTTTACTCTCTAGAACACCTTATACCACTTAATATTTAGTTGAAAACAAATTAAATTGTTCTTTTGTATTTAAAATAATTTACAAACATACCAAAAGCAGAAGGATACTACACCAGAAAATAATCTATTTAATTTTGGAAAGACATCACCACAAATAAATATATAATTATAGAAATAAATGTACACGTAAGTTAAAACTAACACTTACCTTGCAATTCCTAAATCTCCTATTTTGATTATTTTACTCTTGGTTAGAAATATATTTTGCGTCTTTAAATCTCTGTGAAGGATATTTCTTTCGTGCAAATACTGAAAAAAGCCATAGCATAAAATTTAATATCTATAGATATTAGTCCATAATGTGTAACTCATGGGTTCCAGGTTGGGCGTATATATGCCAGTCATGACTGCTTGATAAAAAATTGACCGAAATGCCTCGGGGCCCCATTGGTAAATTTACACACTGTAAAACTAGCATATTTTTCAAAACCCCATTTTCAAACATGGCTACAATCAACCTCTGCCATGTATTACTATACAAAATATTGCAAATGTATAAAAGTCACATCTGACATTATCTCATGATTGGTGTTATAGAGTTGTATACATAGTACAAGAGATAATTATACAGAGTGTTGTGTTGATAATTAACGATGAATGTCTGGTAGTAGAACAATAAAAATTGTTATACATGGGAATCTTATCAATGACGAGAAGTGGTCCATGCATTGTTAGCTGTTCTCATGTGTCACAAGAATTTTCAAGAATATAGCTGCTATACGTTTTCGACGGTCACACATGGTGAAAAAGAGATTAATTTGATCTTTGAATCCAATCAACTTTAATATTTAAAAAAAATAAAAATTAAAGATACGTTATGGGAGATAAGATAAAGAGATGGCAGTTCTCTATATAATAGTTAAAGCGAGAATTTCAAACTTTCTAAGAAAGTCAAAACATAATTATTTCTATGTCTTTTGCTCAATTATACGATCATGGGCATTATTTCCCACCCTAAAAAATCTATGACACAGGAAATAACACAATTACCTCCCCTGTTTTGCTATTGACAACATGGGGCAGCCATTTTCCAAAGTTGGAATTTGAAGTTAAAAATGATATTTTTGCCAATTTCTCAGCTGGCAATAGCGAATTATAGGATTAATATGATTATTCTTTAACAAGGTAGGACTGTTTATGGATACCATCTATTTTAAGGCTTTATTTCAATACCTTTTAAAAATATAACTTGAAAATTTGCAATTGCAACTTTAAAAACTAGATAGTGTAAAGGTAATTTGCTGAAAATTTCAGTCAAATTGATCCACTATGAGCCGAGAAAGAAGCGGGTGAAATTTTTGCATAGTCTCGGTCATCATTAGTAAAGTCATTAATATAAACAGCATAGTCTCGATTATCCACTTTTTTTGATTTAATTATCAAAGGCCGTTAGCGGCATATAGGAATCTAATCCAGCCAACATTGAAGGCTAGCCTTGACTTCGAGAGTTTATTATGGTCTGGATAAGTTAATTAATGTCTAATTGATAATTTAGATAACATTTCAGGCCTAAAGAAAGACTTGAAATAAGCAGATTTTGCTCTTGCATAATGCATGTTTAAGTAAATTGTCAAAACATGTCAAGAGAAATCTGCTGAAGAAAATGTATACGGCGGTATTATGGTCTTGTCCGGATTATAAAAATAAAAGCTAGAGATTAGTCAACTTGCTTACCGATAAAATTAAGAAAATTACGTATTCCAGTGCTATTTTACAGCAATAATATTAATAATCCTTGTGTCGCACATGTATAGTATAAATGTCTACTAGTACTATTAAGCACGAATAAACCATATTCTTCTAGGGGGCGCTGTGCTAATGTGAAAGCACGAATAAACCATATTTTTCTAGGGGGCGCTGTGCTAATGTGAAGTTAGCTTGTCATTCGCATTAGTTAATATTAGGATTTACACCACAATTCTGCATTCGGTAATGGTCTAAAACCGATAAATGTGAGAAATGCACTGTGGATAATTATATTTATATCTTCATTTTGAAGTTATTGTATTATTTATTATACAACTCAAAATTATCAAGGTCAGCTATGAAATGCTTTTTCTACAGCCAATTCAGCTCTTTATTTAGAATGAGACAATGAAGGAACATATGTGCAGCTCTTTAATACCTCTGAATGCTTGAGTGACAAACCAGCGGCTGCCAGGCAGAATACGCCCACATTTTCGAGAGATGGATAGAGAACAAGCTAAAAAGAAAGTGATTTTTCCTACAATCAAGGGCCATAATTCAGGAAATTACAATTCGATATGCGCAAATATCGTAAGGAACCGAAATCTTTGGGTTATAAACTTACATTTCAAGTTTCAACAAAATCAGATAAAAATTGTGACCTCTATAGGGTCTACAACCTTGATATACCATGTTTTTACGCTATTTTGTCTGTCAATTTTGGGCTGAATTTCACGAAATTCGAACTCAGCCATCCTTAGGGTGTAACGGTGATACAATTATACGTTTTTTTTAAATCGGATAAATATTATGACCTCTATATAGTCTACCAGCTAAAAACTCGATTTTTCGTACAATCAGGGGGCATAATTCAGGAATTTATGGTCCGATATGCGCGAATGTCAAGAGGAACTGAGATCTTTGCATTATAAACTTACATTTCAAGTCTCAACAAAATCGGATAAAAATTGTGACCTCTATAGGGTCCACCACCTTGATATACCATATTTTTAGGCTATTTGAGAACGAACGGCGGCCATATTGTCTGTCAATTTTGGGCCGATTTCCACGAAATTCTAACTCAGTCGTCCTTATGGTATAACGGTGATATAATTATACGTTTTTTTAAATCAGATAAAAATTATGACCTCTATAGGGTCCACAAGCTAAAAACACGATTTTTTGTACAATCAGGAGCCATAATTCAGGAAGTTACGGTTAGATATGCGCAAATATCGAAAGGAACCGAGATCTTTGGGTTATAAACTTAAATTTAAGTCTCAACAAAATCGGATAAAAATTGTGACCTCTATAGGGTCCACAACCTTGATATACCATATTTTTACGCTATTTGAGAACGAAGGGCGGCCATTTTGTCTGTCAATTTTGGGCCGATTTTCACGAAATTCGAACTCAGTCGTCCTTATGGTGTAACGGTGATATAATGATACGTTTTTTTAAATCGGATAAAAATTTTGACTTCTATAGGGTCCACAAGCAAAAAATGCGATTTTTCGTACAATCAGGGGCCATAATTCAGGAAGTTACGGTCCGATATGCGCAAATATCGAAAGGAACCGAGATCTTTGGGTTATAAACTTACATTTCAAGTTTCAACAAAATCAGATAAAAATTGTGACCTCTGTAGGGTCCACAACCTTGATATACATGTACCATATTTTTACGCTATTTGAGAACGAACAGCGGCCATTTTGTCTGTCAATTTTGGGCCGATTTCCACGAAATTCGAACTCAGTCGTCCTTATGGTGTAACGGTGATATAATTATACGTTTTTTTAAATCAGATAAAAATTATGACCTCTATAGGGTCCACACGCTAAAAACACGATTATTCGTACAATCAGGAGCCATAATTCGGGAAGTTACGGTCCGATATGCGCAAATATTGAAAGGAACCGAGATCTTTGGGTTATAAACATACATTTCGTACAAACAGGGGCCATAATCCATGAAGTTTCGATCCAATACATGCCAATATCGAAAGGAACCGAGATCTTTTGGAGATAAACCTATATTTCAAGTTTCGTCAAAATCGGATAAGAATTGTGACCTGTAGAGTAAGGGTGTGACGACTAAGCAAAACTTGAACCGGTTAGTCGACGGCTAAAAAACCGAACCGATTCGGTTTAGTCGATAATGAAAACTAACTGAAAAATATTAGTCTTCCATAGTCTACAATACACGCTAATATACAGGCCTTTATATATACGGAGCTTAATAAAACTGTAATGTGGCATACATACTGTTCTATGATTTATGTGTCCAGTACATTAAAAAAAAATTGGTTTTGTTTGTACTATGTAGTTTGTTCAAATCTCCTGTTTAACCTTTTTAATAAAAGTAATAAATACAACATATAAAAAACTTGATCAATAATATTAGTGATAAACCGATTAAAAAGCGTTTCTGGGCCATTCGGCAAACCTCGACAGATTCTACGCATCTAATCTCGGCTGTGTGACCATTTCCGCCATATTTGAACTATTTTAAAGGTTCCGAATGAAAAATGGCTGCCCCCATGGAGATTTCTGTGGAGAGTGTATTATATCAACAAACGTCACGTTTGGTATTGGGTTTGGGGAATTACCAGGGAATTTCATCAAACCAGCAGCTTTGAGACAATATCTATGCTCATTTAGGTATATACTCTCTACAAAAGACGCAATTTGGGATTTTTTTGTAAAAGCGACACGTTTTCCTGTTTAAAGTAAACCGGTAGCCGCATCGCAAATGTATGGGCGTAGGGTCTGGGCATCAGCTCAGTGCGCATGCCTATTGGACTAACCTGGAGGATTGCTTGTTTCTGATTGGGCACTTCAACCATTGACTTTAGCGACCGACCAATCAAATAACGTATTCTTAAAATAACTTCATTAGGTATGCAAAAACACACTGGCTTGTAATCACGAGAATATCCACGACCGATTACGGAATATAGTACATACTCATAATGTCTCGTTATTATTATTGTCGACCATTTATCAATGATGTAGCTTATTGCTTATTCGCCCCCATAATTGTCGATCGTTAATACATGTATCTTTTTAAAAAAAAAACATGTTATAATATTCGGGCGACTGGTTTATATCATGCTGTATTTTTTAGACGACTATCGATTTCCCGAAACTTGAACCGGTTTGTAGGTAAAACCGAACCGACTCCGACTAAACCGACTAATCGTCACACCCTTACTGTAGAGTGTCCACAAACAAATTGTGGACGGACGGACGTCCGGACGGAGAGGGGCGACGACAATATTATACGTCCACATGAAAATGTGGGCGTATAAAAAGGAGCCTAGATGCCAATGTCTTGCTAAATGTAGAATTTGTGGTTCAACTTCAACTAAAGATGTTTGTATCATCTTACCTGTAATGCCATAGATATTTGTATAAACCATTCCACAACTTGTCTTTCTTCTAGAGGCACACCTTTTTGTTCTTTCAGTTTATTATATAAATCCCCACCTTCACAATACTGCATAGCTATATATAAATAACCATTTTCTGTCTCAAACGAGTCTTTATAAGACACAATATTTGGGTGTTTTAATTTTGATAAAAGTTTTGCCTCTTGTTCAGCTGATTTTCTTTCTCTTTTTGATGCTCTTTGTAAATTCATCTTCTTTAAAACATACTGTAAATAAGAAAAACATGAAATCAGTTTCATCTGTTAAACCTAATCTACTAATAAAAACAAATCCCAGTCATCTTTTTATTGTAAGGTTACTGTAACTTTTAAACAAAGATAAATATTCAGATAAATATGTACTTGTATGCAGACTGTCCTTAATGGACATCTTGATGAAAACCATCTTATCTTATCTACTGTACATAAAAAGGATGGTTTAAATGGTACTATATATAAAGAAGATATATTTATGTTGAGAATTGAAAATTGAAAGATTTTTTTTATTAAAAAGTTTGAGCTCAACTGAAATCAATGCGAGTTTCTTATGGTCCTATTTACTGGTATAGTTAACAAAAATGACAAATGTCAGTCACTAATGACAAAATAATAGTACAAACCTGTTTTCTTCTATCTTTTTTGTATGTTGTTAACCAGACTTCTCCATAACTTCCTTTACCAATAACTTTAAGACGAGTAAAATCATCTAAACTCATCTTGAGGCACTGCTGAACTTTGTGATGATTTACTGATATAGTTTTCTTCTATATTACTGTTGTAAGTTTATAACCTATTCTGCACCAGATAATGGCACTTTGTTATTCCTTTTCCTTGTCATTTTCTCTCGTTGATGACTTCATCGTTATTTCTAAATCTAATGTCCATTTTCATTTTGCTTGTTTTTTTTAGATTAGAATAGATTACATCTGGATATTGATTTAATTTATTTTATCAATGCTATTTATTATCAGTCACATCACAGAGAATAGGACTGAAACAAGGTTAAGTCGTCTAATGTAGTTCTTTTTTTACTTCTTTGTCTGGATTTGTACTAATACAAATGTACTAGCTGTCACTCAACTCACCGTTGACCCCAAGATAATAATAAAGCCGCAAGTCTTTCCAACGGGCAGTAGTAGGATATCAGCTTTAAAGATTTTGCCTTGGCTGATCATTTCAGAGTTCCTCAAATCATTTAGAGCTACATCCCAAATTGTATATGGAGTTTAGATTACCGAAAGATAAACGTGAATTAAAACAATAGAATGGTTAAAACTCGTTGCCAACGGATGCTTTCTTGGGCAATTTTCTTACATCAACATTGGTCTCTGGGATATGTTAGGAATGCCATTTTTATCTTTAATCCTCAACAAATAGAAGATTAAGACAAGGGAGACAACCACGAAAATGAAATTGGCAGAATCCGCTAGCTGTCTTCGGTATTTCGACGACAGAGATTGATCAAATTTATTACTACAGCTCCAGTTTTAATTTAATATATTGTATCCTATAAATTAGCAAAGCATTATTGATGTTGCGTGGTTCAACATTTTGATAGCTATCAAAATGTGTCTGAAATCGTCTCCAATTCAAACCTGGAGTAATCTCCCTTATACTACAATATCAAAATCTTTTTAAAGTCAGAGATTAATCCAAAAGAATGTGGCCAAATCCTTTAAGGGAGAGAGAGAGAAATTGAGTTTAACGTCCACTCGACACAAACTAGGTCATTTCGGGACTAACACATGGTTCAATTTTATTTCAATAATTCGCTTGCGCGTAGGGGTCTTTAGCAGTGGGAGGAAACCGGAGGACCCGGAGAAAACCCACGAGGATGGACAGGTGACTCTATATCCTTGCCACGTACAACTGGGGAATTGAAACCCCGCCAGTTGACTCAATGACAGACCGTATGATACAGCGCGCGGTGCTAACCATTCGGCCATCCAACCCCCCAAATCCTTTAAGGGAGATGATAATTATAGGCCGGTTGGGGAGGTTTGAGAATTTCTGGAGTCCACAATGGCCGCTTTATATAACTGAATATTTTTGGGAATAGCCTAGGCCTACTACTAACCCTTTTTATAAGACTGAACTTAGATCCAATGTACCCCTCTAAAAAAGGTTAGGGTTAGTATTCCCCAAAATACTCATTTATATAAAGAGGCCATTCGGAATTTCCGGAACCGGCCTACAATTAGCATCTCCAATCCTTTACAGCAATATCTGTATCATAGATGTATTGTGAAAATGGCCTAGCAAATATTCACTGCTGATCTGTGTTGCCTTTATAGCCGTTTCATCTATAACCCAACCCCAAAGTTGTTGTCACTATCTTCTTTCATGAAAAAAAAGCATATTGATTCAAATTCATGTAATTCAACGTCTTTAGCACACTGATCCGCAGTAAATACTCGCTAGGCCGTGACAATCACTGATAAGGATGACATTAAAGGCTCAATACCACTCTTGTTGTAACTGAATAATATGTCCCAATCTTCATTCTGGTCAACAAATTGTAGGCCTACTATTTTACAATATTCCAATTAATTGATGATACAAATTTCATCTTAACACACCTAATTAAAAACTGAAAAAATTCAACTAAATGATTTGAAAAGCCTGACGTAAAGCTTTTCAAATGTTACTTGGATTTAAAAATATTTTTGAACCCTCTGGACAAGTAAAATAGGATGTAATGGATAATTTACACAACAGGTAGGACACTAACACATCTAGTACTTAGATGTTATTTTCCCTTTAATGAGCCACAAATATTAACTTTTTTCCTCTGACAAATTAAATTCTAAAATATTTTTTTTATGAATTAGAAAAATAAATAAAGACGTTTGAAGTAATTGTAGGTAGAAATTATTTCCTATTTTAGTGTAAATGTGTATTAAATAAGTAAAAGGTGCCATTCTCCTCGAATCAGTAACGTCTTATGTAAACAATGCACGCGCCATTGAGCCAATGATTGACGCCGCGTGATATGACGTCATGTGTTGAAGGCAGTCATCTTTTACAGTGATATAACAAAATTTTCGTAATAGGTTACTCTGTGAAACAGATTGCGTCTTTAGGCCTATCATGGCAATGTCCATAAGAACAATCAGGAACACTAAAGTCCCATTCCTAATCGACAGATGGGGTAGAAGCCTCAAGCTTTTAAGTTGGGCCTATATCTTGGTGGTGTATGTAGGCCTACGTACAATTCTGTACCATGCATTGAAGTGTTATCATAACATAAACATTGAACTCCACTGAAATTAAAATATTGAAGATTTGTTTCAATACATGTGAAATGCTGTGAAACTGTTTGACAGGCTAATGATTATGTTTTGGCAGTTTTCCATTAGAACTCACATATAATTCTAAAAAATCTCTTAACAAAAGGTATATCGATTGAGGCCAGAAGATAAATTTCTTTGTGCATTTACTCTAGCTAAAGTCAGTGGGTGAAACGCTGGCACACTAACCTGGAGGCCCTGTGTTCGATACTTGCGTTGGCTGAGAAAGTTCATCCGGATTTTGCAGCATGGTGTCTCCTTGTCAGTGGTGCAGGACTGAGAGTCTAGCAAGGGACAACGTATAGTCATTTGGATGGGACGAAAAACTGAGGTCCCACGTACACATTGGCGTGCAGTCGTGCACATAAAAGATAAAGTAAATGATAAGTTAGAGCCACTATGTTATGGTTCCTGATTGTCTTTTGGGACCTGCTAATTAATAGCTCTTAATTCAAACCAAACCATGTATTATAATGTATAACAATATAGATAGTACATTTTATTATAAAAAGACAAATCAAAACAAAAATTATAATTTAACGAAAACTTAAATAGATTGTAAATCGATATAAAACCAATAAAAATAGTTAAAGACCCTTTCAGCCAAAAATAACAAAGTGTTTTAATAATATCAGTTTTAGTCTATTACCAAATGGCAAAATATTGTATTTGATCTACATCATCAATTCATGAAATAAACATAAAATGTTTATTGGGTTTTGTTTGCTTTGTCATCTTCGACATACCAAATCTCATTTCTTCTATTAAACATTTTAAAGGGACTATCGTAACCAGCGGTAAACCAATAATTTTGGTTAATATTTTTGTCACTCAGTTCTTGAGCTAATTCTTGGGCATGAGAAACGTATTCATCATCTTTTGGTGATCCACCAAATTGTCTGAAAAGGCAAATAATACAGAATTGATCATCTGAAACCATAACCATTTTTATTTGCAAAAGAACTTTTCAATTACTGTATATTTCGTAACAAATGTATTTGTGTTGTGCTAAAAACACTGATGATTGAACTAAAACTGAATTTGAGCTACTTAAGTGAATTCTTTCATTTATAATTTATTGAAAATTTTATGAAATGATATTGATTCCTTTCATCCTAAATTTAAAAATGAATAATAAATGAAACACAATGTAAAATATACTTTAAAGCAAAAAAAATTAATGCCTGTGTTATTTAAATGCTCTTTGACATGGGAGAAATTTGTTTCATTTGTTTTGCAATAAAAGTTATATTAGATATAAGCCCGTTTTACACAATCCTACTTTTGTTCAAGAACATCATCCAACATTTGTAGGATGATGTTTGCAGGTAAAGTTCACAATAGTGAACAAGCTTGGAGAAGCTTGAACATGTTGGATGCTGTCCGTGCTTGCACATTAATTTGAGCATTGTAGGCATGTGTTCAAGGCCTTGAACCATGCAATGAGAATGCATATCTGGGTCAAGTGGTGTTTTAGGTCACATGACAATCAAGCATAATGGCAGCTTCCAAAGCAAGACCGCCATGTCAAAATAATCTTGAGAGAGAGATGGAGAGAGAGAGAGAGAGAAATGGGGTTTAATGTCCACTCGACACAAACCAGGTCATTTAGGGACTAACATATGGTTCAATTTTATTTCAATAATTTGCTAGCATGTAGGGGTCTTTAGCAGTGGAGGAAACCGGAGGTCCTGCAGAAAGCCCACGAGGTTGGACAGGCGACTCTATATCCTGGCAATCGAAACCACACCAGTTGACTCAATGACAGACCTTATGATACAACGCGCACGCACTAATCATTCGGCCATCCACCCCTGCCCACAAAACAAACTTGAACATTCACTTAATCCTGTGTGGTGTAAATTGACATGTTCGTGGACACCTCATGACGTTGAACATCATACTATAAATGTTGGATGATGTTCTTGAACAAAAGCAAGATTGTGTAAAATAGCCTTAACAAAAAAAAAGCTGAATAAACGATACCGAACTGATACTATATTTAGATACTAGGGTTGAAAAATCAGAATTAGATTTAGCACAAGAGTGAACATGTCATTGTACGTGTTTCACAATTGAAAATTGTGAATATGTGATTATATCACACTTACTTTGAGTATATAGTTTGAGCTGGCCAGGTTTCTATAAATACATCTGGATCTGTTGGTTTTGGGGGATTATCTGCATTTTCTGGAGGGATAAAGAAGGAAACTGTAAAAGTGCTTTCACAATTTGGGCCTGCACCTGGAACTATTTTAGTGGCCACTGGTGCTGTCATTTCTACTTTCTCACCTGCAAAATAAAATAATTTAAATTTAAATTACACCTTTCTCAAAATACTACCATTTACAGGAGTTATGGACATAAATATCTACGCCCCTTAACTGTTCAATATATTTCAAAATTTCGTAAATTACACATAGGATCTATATTATGTTATGTAACTGGATTCTGCTCATTTGCAATTTTTTTTCAAAAACTTTGGGTTTGTAGAGGTAATAAAATACCAAATAGGGGGATAAAACATAATCAATGATAAATAGAGAGAGAGAGAGAGAGAAATGGGGTTTAACGTCCACTCGACACAAACTAGGTCATTTTGGGACTAACATATGGTTTAATTTTATTTACATAATTCGCTTGTGTGTAGGGGTCTTTAGCAGTGGGAGGAAACCGGAGGACCCGGAGAAAACCCACGAGGTTGGACAGGCGACCCTACTTCTTGTCACGTACAACCAGGGATTCGAAACCACGCCAGTCGACTCAATGACAGACTTTATGATACAGCGCGCATGCTAACCATTCAGCCATCCAACCCCCCACCCCCCAATGATAAATAACACTGTTTGAATTTTTGACAAAATGTAGCACAGATTATTCAAGACTTAGTCTTTATTCACCCTTTTTAAAATGGTTTCCCCCCACTGCTAAAAACCCCTACGCGCAATCGAATTATTGAAATAAAATTAAACCATATGTTAGTCCCGAAATGACCTAGTTTGTGTCAAGTGGACGTTAAACCCCATTTCTCTCTCTCTCCCTTTTTAAAATAAATAATTAAATGGCCATCGTGTTTCAATCCATTTAAATCTCGGCCATCTGTGTCAAGTGGACGTTAAACCCCATTTCTCTCTCTCTCCATTTTTAAAATAAATAATTAAATGGCCATCGTGTTTCAATCCATTTAAATCTCGGCCATCTGTGTCAAGTGGACGTTAAACCCCATTTCTCTCTCTCTCTCCCTTTTTAAAATAAATAATTAAATGGCCATCGTGTTTCAATCCATTTAAATCTCGGCCATCTGATGGTCTAGAGAGCTGATTATAGCCTTGACATGAATAATGGTTTATATAACATCGGAAGCCAAAATAAAGACCTACAATAGATAGATTTAGCTCTTACATAATGCATCTTTAGTTTACACGTAGCCTAAAATTGTAGTGGAATGAGATGGGTCCCTTCCCTAAAAATATTTGAAGGTCAAAATTTTGAAACAGCATCCCTGGTTCCCAACCTAGGAATTCTAAATAAGGAATATCCATAATTATTTCTAGGACATGCATCCAATAATTGAGTGATCACACAGCACTTGATCCAATATTATTACAGCCTAGAAGGGGATATTATTACAGCCTAGAATTACAGCCTAGAAGGGGATATTAAGAATGATATAAATCGACCTATAAGGAGGTAAACAGCAACCCATTTTTAACGTTTGGTAAATGTATAACCTCCATCATGGGGACATAAAGGCCAACACAGGTCTTTTGTTATGGAGTCAGTTTACAAGACCCTAACCCTAGTGAAACTTAGGTCCACCACTCACATGGAAGATTTAAATCCAGGGTCAGTCTAGAATCTAGATAACTCCACAAAAACAAAAAAAATATCATAAGATATTATGAATAACTGAGCCTAAAATATATGCATCATACCATAAGATACACATATTTGGGGCCTTTATGTCCATATGATGGAGGTCATACTGAAGGGTTAAATCAGCAGGGCTCTATAAAAGTTGAGTGTGCCTGCGCACACACTTGAAAATGTGCCTGCAGGGTCATACTGAAACACAGGGATGTAGCCAAGAATTGGTGAGTGGTGTTAAAATGTACTTGGCGAGCGGAGCGAGTGCCAAAAATTTTTGGGAGGGGGGGCGTTATCTTTCATGAAAATTAAACCCTTCTTGGTGTATTTTCAGAGCATCTGCTGCCTTTTGTATTTGGTTCAGTGCAAATCTAATTTCCATTTATATATTCAAATTTTACCAAATTCACTTAATTTTCATCAATGATACAGGGATCTAAAAACTTTTTGACACCACCCGACCGAACTTAAAATTGTCCCGCCCCACTCTGTTTCTCTGGATAGATAAGTTGAGGACCTTTCGGTATTTGTTCTTTTGTTGGTTTTTTTTCAAATACTACTTTATTACTTTGAGATTAAAAATTAAAACGATTCTTAAAACGGTCTTTGTGTTTTATTTGAGTACAACGAATTATGACAACAGGGAGATATTGATAATTAAAACACGTTGTATTATTTGACTTGTTTGTAAAGTTGTTGTACGTGTCTCACGAATATTATTATTATTACGGTGGAATGAGAATCAGGTCAGGCAGAAACTGAGAAAGCTCTCATCGTCCTCCTAGTCCTACTCTCGGGCCGTAGAAAATCCACGGTCAACACAGGTAAGAAATAAAATAAGATCATCGTGAAAATTTGCAGGCACGTGTTGGACAATTACGACATTCAAACCTTTAACATTGGAGTGCCGTAAATTGGTCTGGGTGACCTATTTACGGCAAATAAACAAATATAAAGACCGTAGAATAATTGTAAAATGAATAGACCTAGGCCTACACATCTTCTAAATATAAATAAACAAAATACCAATACATCTTTCTTTAAACTAATTTGGAATGATAGGGTTTACTACGGCACACAAAAATAAATTATGCCGTGACAGACATGGTTTGCGTACGTCGGCTTTTACCATGGCTTTGCCATTTAATTGCCGTGGTAAATTTCGAGCATCTTTAAAAATGTGCCTGCAAAAAATGTTTTTCAAGCAAATGTGCCTGTGCACGCCGTGAGCATGTGCACGGAAATATATCGATGTCTGTAAATCAGGTATGCCATTTACCTCCTTATAGGCCGACTTATTTCCCTCTTCTAGGTGGTAATAATATTGGCATGGGTGCATCCAATTATTACTTACTTGGTTCATTAGCACCTTGAATATATTTAAACAGTCTTCTAAAACCTGTACTTCTGGCATCTTTATGAACCATACCAACTACTTTAGTACTGACCCATTTAGACTCTGGATAATGTCTCTCTTCATATGTTTGTGATTCCTGCAAAATAATAAGAATTTATTTATTTATCTCATATCAGTTTGCCACTTCCATAAGGTCTGCAGATTGGTGTTAGTTTAAACTTCAGCCTTCAATTGTTCTGAAACATTTTGTTCTATGGTAAATGGTACCACCCCTCACCCCCCCCCCCCCCAAAAAAAAAATGTTTGCTATCTGAACTCCTCAAATAAAATATTAAATTGTATCAGGTATTCTAGGATGAGTTAGCATACTCATGCATAACACCCATCATTACTAATAGCTAACTCAAGCAATGGTTTGTACCTGGATTTAAAGATGCACTTTGTAACATTTAGATAGAGAGCTGGCTGTTCTTGCTATAATAGTTTCAAAATAGGTGATTCAAAATTAATAAACTGCAAATTTCATTCAAATTACTTTATTCTGAGCCATATTATCACTGTTTGAAGTTTTGACATAGATTGTTTATTAATTGAGACTCAGCCTCACTTCTCCATTTTTTAAATTAAATCATTACATAGTGATCGTATTTCAATCCGTTTACATCTACACCATCCGACAGTCTAGAGAGTTGATTATAGGCTTCTTGCTTGTCATGTGAATAAATTTTTAAGTAATATTTTATATACCATTTGAAGTCAAAATAAAAGCCTGCAATAGGCAGATTTAGCTCTTACATAATGCATCTTTAAGAAGCCAAGAGATACCTTAGGATCAAAAGCTACCAGAAGAGTTACCAACCCAGCAGTACAAAGTACTACAACATTACCTAACCAAGCCTATACCAGTACCCTTATTAAATAAGTGAGCATACTCAAACTTATGCAGAATAATAATTTTTATCAAGCATAAATGAAATGGTGTTTAACGTCCTACTGTTCTGCTCCGACTGGACTAATAAAGACGAGCATATGTCATATAGTGTCCGAACGACTATATGTTGTCCCTAGCCAGAAAAACATGATTAACTTATATTAAGTGACAATACTGGTATTTCATTACAATTAGTCTCGTCCAGATAAAGTTTATCTGAATTATTAATTAGAAATATAATATGATATTGTCAAGTAAACTGATAATATTGGTACCAGTATTTCATTACAATTAGCCTTGTCCAGTTGAAGTTTGAGATTTTAATTAGAAAAACAATATTGCAACAATACACATAGTGACAAATTATACCATACTACCTGTTTTGTTGCCTGGGATGGACTTTAATACTTACTTTAGTGTTCTCAGCTGTAGTATAAACAGGCATATCCAACCCTTTACTTGTTAATGCTGTCTTGATTGTGTTCAATATGGTGGCCATCTTGATTGTTTGTGCAAAAAAAAAACAAAAAAAAACCCCATTCAAATAAATTTGATAGCATCAAAACTTATATAATATTTAACCATCACACATATAACTAGTTAGAAAATGATGTCGACCAATTATAAGTGGCATCATTGTCGTAACAGGTGCTGTCGCGACAGGTACAGCACCTGTCACAATGGGAGAGTATATATGTACTCTTTCCAGCAGTTACAGATCTCTTTTTATGTGGCAAGTCTAATTGTTGTTTTTTGATTTTGATTGGTGATTAGGATTGATTGTGCTGGACTTTTATTAATATTTCATTCAATATTAGTAAAATAAAGCATTGAAAACCCTATTAACTTTCATGTAGATCTACATTACCATAAAAGGAAATTATTCTTCAAGTTTGAATTTGAGCTAACTTACTGTTTGTAAATTATTTTGCAGAAAAAATTAGTTTCTTTCTATATAATATCAGCATTCACTTTGTCTTTTTAATGATGATTAAACTGACTGATTATCTGTTAATTTCTGTTTTTACTACTTGGTTAATTCTGTAATAAATGACACTGAATTAGCAAGTTGTAGTCAGCGTCTTTTATATCATATAGGGATAGGCTGTGTTTCATAACTTATTTTCTGATGTAAATATAAGTAAGTCCACTTGCACTGTTTCGTAACTTATTTTCTTATGTAAATATAGATTGGTCTAGAAGGACATATGGCTTGACTATCCTTTCAGACAATATTGACGTGAACTTGGGTAGAAAATTAGGCTAATGGCCTCTCACATTTTGACCTTTTTCCTAAACAATATGGTATACACATTATAAAATATAATTATAAATATATTGAATTGGAAATATACAAGTTATACATATACAATAGGTAGCCAGAGGAAGAGAGTGAGAGAGAGAGAGAGAGAGAGAGAGAGAGAGGTTTAATGACCACTACACAAACTAGGACATTTCATGACCAACACATGGTTCAATTTTACTTCAATAATTCGCTTGCGCGTAGGGGTCTTAAGCAGGATGAGGAAACCGGAGGACCCGGAGAAAACCCACGAGGTTGGACAGGTGAACCTACTCCTTGCCACGTACAACCAGGGAATTGAAACCGAAGCAGTTGAATCAATGACAGACCTTATGATACTGCTAACCATTCGGCCATCCATCTCCCCCTCCCTCCCAATAAGCAGCAGTTAATATATTAATTTCAAACATTTCCATAGTGAAATGATATGAAATGAAATGGGGATTAAACTACTGATGAATTGGGACATTTATTATGCCATGAACTATGTGCTACCACAGGAGTCTGACCTTCTATCCGTATATATATGCATACACCATGTCCAACCAATATATAATATCTTTTTTATTATATATTGTATGGTTGGACATGGTGTATGCATATATATATACGGATTGAAGGTCAGACTCCTGTGGTGCTACAATGGAAATTTTGCCAATACAGCAGTTTCCTCCCACTCTTCATTGAATTCTACCTGTCAATGTGTACAGAAGACCTTGATTTTCTGTCCTATCCGAACGACTACTCACTGTTCCTTGCCAGGCCCTCCATTCTGCACCACTGACGAGGGGGGAAATAACGTTGAAAATAACAAGGAACTTTCTCGGCCAACACCAGGATTGACCCTTGGACACACTGGTAAGTTGGCCAGTGCCTTATTCACTAAGCCACTATGATTGGATAGTGTATATTGTGCAGTAATAAAATAATCATGGGTGCATATGGGTGACACTGTGGCTCAGTGAGTAAGATGCTAGCTTACTAACCTGTAGGTATGTGTGACTCCCGAGTTTGATTCAGGACTTTCCTCCATTCAGATGTTAGATGGGGTGTGGGGTTCAATAAGGGAGAGAGCAAGAGGGGTCTTTAGCAATGGGAGGAAACCGGAGGACCTGGAGAAAACCCACGAGGTTGGACAGGCGACACTACTCCTTTTTTGTCACATACAAGCTGGGAATCGAAACCACACCACATGACTCAATGACAGACCGTCTGATCCAATGCGCATGCATTAATCATTCGGCCACCCAATCCCTGAGGTGTTCAATAAGAAGAGTAGGTGGAAATGCAACTCAAAACTTTCCTCATTGCACAATGCATGCCTGTCTTCATCATTAGCTTGGCTGTTGCAGAAACCCCATTTCATTTCATTAAAAATAAAATGAAATGGGGTTTAATGTTCTACTTTTCTGCACCGACTGGGCTAAGTTGGGCATTACGCCTTACAGTGTGCTACATGTACGAGGGAAATTTTGGCCGCACAGGGGCAATACAGCGGACTCTTATTTCAAATTCAAACAGTCCAGGTTTTTTTTCGGTACACGCCAATGTGTACAAAGGACCATGGTTTTCCTTCCCCTGAATGACTATAGACACTACCTTTCCTTGATAAGCCCTCCATCCTGCACCAGGGAAACAAAGGGCAACCACGCTGGAATATCCTGGACTCTTTTCATTGATCATCACTGAGACACAAACCGGGCCTCCTGATTAGTGAGCTAGGGGCCAGCCTTACTCACTGAGTCACACCGGCACCCCCATTTTATTAATTATAGGCTACCTGTATTATAGGAGTAATAATTTGATAGTGTACCATGCTTCCAAATATTCTTTGAATAAATAACATTATCAAACGGCGCAAATATTAAATCAAACATATCAAATGTCAAATCTTATATAAGAATTAGTCATGATTTATATAACGTGCGAAAACTTTTTACATAACAGAAAGTAAACAAATCGAAAGTGGGACAGTAGCGAAAAGGTTATTGTTTTAAACGCTAACATATAAACCAGTGGCACAGATGAGATACATGCTATCATAATCATCTATCGATAACTCAAATATTCTAAATAAATGCTGAAAATTAAAAAGATTGTTCCCCAAATTTGAGAACATAGAAGTTCGAGGACGAAACGTGTCCTTCACTCCCTCTGCATTCCTCTACTGCTTGGAATCAAAGGCGGGTCTGTGTAGTAACAAGTAGGTCAGTTAACGGGACTCTTATAAAACAGATGTTTGATTAACATTTCGAAGTTATATAATGGTGCCCATACTTACCGTTAGGTGTCAAATATCTTGCATTTGTTGATCAATTCAAGAGATGGGGTACGTCCACGTGAGAGAGAGAGAAAGACTGACTTCGAAGAATGGTCCAATTTTGAAATAGGGTAAAAAAGATTTCTATATCAACCAGCTACTGTCGACAATTCAATTATTTATATACAAACATTTTAGCTGGATATATATCTTAAGGTGAAACAACGATTATCAATGAAATTGAAGAACTTTATTAAAAGTATCAAAAAGTAAAACAACACTAAAGAACAACTGACACACCTATGTCACATGTGGTAATGGACTAGTCTAAATAAACTATCCGGCCACTCGCTATTATAAAAAGAAAGTAGAGTTAATCATCTGTCAAACTTATGCACTGAAGATTTTCAAAATGTTAAAAGTGGTCAGTTTGGTTGTCTTGCTGCAAGTAGTCCATGGTAATTTAATTACTGGGTTTGATGTAAATCCATCTTACAGGAGGTAAATATTACGGCTACCTTTTTTTTTTTTGTTCTATTCTGTCATTTTTTTGTCATCAAGAATTTTTATTTAATTTTGAGATGTAGATCAATTTTTGTTTTTAAATTGAATTATGGTCGTTTGTTGATTTAAAATCAGTTAAACTTCTTTTGCCCGAAATAATTTTAGGTAAAAGGAGTTAAAACTATATTATCCATAATATTCGAAATTAAAAACACGAATTAGAATTCAATTTTGGTCCATTTCAATCAACATTGGTGGTGTTATATCTTCCCGTGAAAATATAGGATCCCAATATTCAATAATAATATAGAAGACAAACTGAACATGTTATAATCAGAATACTTCGGCATGTCGCCAATGTACATAATGGTTTCGAGCGCTATTTGTAATGAACAAAGAAAAACATACCCCAGAAGACAATGTGGTAGTAATTAGAAGTGCCTGATTCACAAACGACATAGTAATAATTTTGTGGAAAAAAAGTAGAATGGACTAAACAGGCGTTAACGACTGCTCATGAATTTGGACGGTTCGCGTATTTCATTGAGCATAACAAATATTTTTAATAAAAAAAAAAATTGAATGTAAATCACTTTATATACACCCATGTTACATTAATATGTAATTTAATAATAAGTGACTTGTATTTTGACAACAAAATTAGTTCTAGTTATTATATCTTATTATTTTTGAATTAGCATCTGAAATTAAATAATAATGTCGCTGCCCTGGCAATAATTCGGTAACTCCATAAAATATACGGAAGAAAATGAAAAAAAAAAAATATATATATATATATCTCGTAATTATGACAATTATCTCGTAGTTACGAGATCCGTAGAAGACCATCCGGGTCAATCATATAACAAAAAAAGCAGCAATCTAATTTAAGGGTCTGTTTCAATTATATATTTTTCATGATTTTATACTGATTTCTTATTCTAGAGGCAATCGTGTATTTAATGAAGAACAGAATGATGGCAGTCAACAAGCTTCCAGTAAGCCTGATTTCTGTAATGACTTAGACTGCCCAGCATACACTGTTCTTGAAGATGTTCAAGTGAGTATATGTTTTGAATCTACTTTAATGAATCTAAATATCAAATGAAAATGGTTCTATAACATGGATGTCTTTCACTTTGGTCGCAGTCCTAGTTGAACCAACGCTCCAATACAAAACAAATTTCTGTACGATTATTTTGTGGCTAGTTTTTTTTTTATATACTACATAAAACAAAACTGTTCATTAATGAAACGCATGTTATAAATGTATGCAATATATATAAATTGAGACGTCAGTGGCCCGGAATGTCAGATGACAGATGGCACAGTAGTCATGACTTATCTGACCCTAATATTACAGATAGTCAGTCTAATGACAAAGATAACATGTATTGTCCAAACAATATTAAAGGGGCATTGTGGGATATTAGATAAAGAGCTGACAGTTCTCGCTATAATAGTTAAAAAATAGATAACGTAAAAAGAATATGCCGAAGATTTCAGTCTAAGTGCTCCACTCTGAACCGAGATATTTGTGATTGAATTTTAGGCATAGCTTCGATCATCATTACTAAAGTCGGTACGATAAATAAAACCTAAAAATGTCTCGATTATCCACTTTGACGTTAAATCATCCATCACAAAATGTATTCTAATCCAGTAAACATCGCAGGCTAGCGATGGCACCGAGAGTTGATTATGGTCTGGATAAGTTAATTAATGTCTAATTAATAGGCCTAATTTAGATAACATTTCAGACCCAAAGAAAGACCGGCAATAGGCAGATTTAGCTCTTGCATAATGTATGTTTAAGTAAAGACATATATTGTCGTTTGCGTAATACCTGAATGTTTTAAGGAATTCAGCGTCTTAATAAGCTATTCTGTTTACATAATAAAAACTTAAAGTAACGATGCGTCATTTGCATTTTTCGCTAAAATATCAAATTTCTCACGGTTTAATCCACGGCAATATTTGCAGATTGGTTAGGCTATTTAAAGAATACATTATGTAAGATTTAGATAAAGAGCTAGCCATTCTTGCTATAATAGTTCGAAAACAGATAATGTAAAATGAATAATTTGAAAATTTCATTCAAATTAGGCTCTATTGCGAGCGACGGTATTAGCCTTTGAAGGGTTGACAAGACGTGCGCAATAATTTCAACCACCGTACTGGTTGTTCGAAGCTAAATCTCGCTCCTCCTTTTTTGGCTTAAATCAATGGCTGAACTGTTCTCACTCGGCAAACCTCAGCAGATTCCAGTACCCTACATCAGCTAGCCTCGGCTGTATGACGAAGTTTTCAAAGTCGGAAGCGGTTTTTTTCTAAAGTTTATCCGATTTTCTTTAGACAATGACAAGTTTGCACTGAAAATTCAACACACTCTTAGGAGGACGCAATTGTGAGGACTTCTTTCTAAAAGCGGCAAGTTTTCATAATATGTAAATCGGTGCCGCATCGCAATTGTATAGGCGTATAGGTAAGTATCACTTACCGTCATACAGACGAGGCTAGATGTAGGGTATCTGATTCTGCCAAGGTTTGCCGAGTGAACTGTTCTAATCTATTTAATATCGGAGGAATCCGATGTCAACGAGAGTTGATTATGGCCTGGATAGGTTAATTAATGTCTAATTAATAATTTAGAAAACATTTCAGGCCTAAAGAAAGGCCTACAATAGGCAGATTTAGCTTACATTATATAAGACCTAAATCTGCCTATTGCATGTCTTTCTTTTGGGCTCTAAATTTTATATACATTATTAATTGGACATTATTGACATGACAAGACCATAATCAACTCTCAGTGCCATCGGATACCTCCGATTTAATGTAGATTAGAACGGTTCGGCCATTTAATGATTTAGTTTAAAATGGAGAAGCGAGGCTAATTTTCAATATACATGTATTAATTTTGCGTTATCTATTTTTGAAATACTATAGTGAGATAGTCAGCTCTTTATTTAAATCTTACATAATGTTCCTTTAAATCAAAAAAAACAAAGCAAAAATTCCAACGCTAGATAAACTCCCTGCTTGGATTCTATCGGATTTAAAATAGGCCCAACAATAATTACTCGCGGACAACTATAAATGGCGAAGGGCTTATTGCATAGCAAGAAGCATAAATCGATGGAATTTCAATTTAACATCTTTGTAAATACTGAACGGAATGCACCTTTTTTGGACTGATATTGCCATTACAGATCTATCTTTCACCGCATATTGTAGTTTGCAAGCGATATTCCTGTTGTGCTAAAATAACGCAATGAGACATTAAATGTCCACACAAAGTATTGTGATATATTTCCTCGCCTGTTGCGATCCTAACTACATAATCATCCTCTAGAAAATATACTTAGACACAGTGAAAACTCACCACTGATTTGATTGGTGCAGACGTGACATAATGGAGCCAAAATATGATTGTATGCTGGACGTTTACCGACACAATAAAATCAACAACAAACCACGCAGACATGACAACTTTACGTTACCGTGAATCATATAGGCATCAGGGGAAAAGTCAAAATGTTGAGCAAGAATGTGCTAAACGTAAGGCCAGCTGACACGCTGTCCGATGATTCGTAAAATGAAATGAAATGGAGTTTAACGTTCTACTGTTCTGCTCTTAACCTGGGCTAATGAAGACGGGCATACGCCATACAGTGTGCTATGAGGGAAATTTTGCCCGGACAGCGGCACTACGGCCTACCCTATATATCGAATTCCAACTGCCAAGGGATCTTTTACGTGTACGCCAATGTGTACACGGGACCTCGGTTTTTCGTGTCATCCGAACGACTAGACAGCTTTCCTTGTCATCCTGCATCACTGACAAGGGAGAGCCACGCCGGAAAATCTGGATGAACTTTCTTGGCCAATGCAGGGATCGAACACCCGACCTCCCGGCTAGCGAGCTAGCGTCTTACCCACTTAGCCACGTGATCCCCCCGGATGATTCGTAGTCGGTGACAAACAGTGACAGCACTGATGGACCAATTTGGTACCATTAAAGTAGAAGCAGCACGGTAAGCCCAACAGCCTGCGTTTCTGCAGATCTTGCGGTCTTGTCGAGGCGTTGTAAAGGGTTGCTGTCTTCATAGATCTCTAGTTGACCCTGTCGGCTGGAAACGATCGGCGAATCTCCAGATTGTATTGTGATGGCACCCAGACCTCCTGGTGACGGCTCTAGATCTGCTACGCACGCCTTCTTGAATTAATGCAATGAATTGATGACAACCTTGGCAAACCGTTGATTCTTACCAAAAGTAGGAGTTGTACTGACTGAATCTAGCTTTGTGTTAAAAGTCACATGCTTAGCTCATAAAGTCGTGATTTAAACATCCAGATTCTGTCGAATTCAATTTATTGTGTTCACGAAAATATCATTCCCACGTGTTATCGTCGTAATCTGGTGTTGTTACATGTAGAATTACAAGATTAAAGGTATCTCTCGCGCGAGATTTACATTCACTCATTTATAGAAAGACAGGATGCAATTCAGTATATATTACTTACTTACTTCAAATCAAGTAAGTTGTAAACAATACAAAAATTTATGTCTTGAGTGAAAAATTGTAATATAAACTCTATCTGCGTTTACCAGATTTTCCGAAATTTCATTGATATACTTTTATTTTTTTGTCATTGATATTTTATGTACGCTTTCGCTGCCCAAGGGGATATATTTAATACACACACACAAAGTTGAAAGTTCACCTGAAATGAAAACACTAATTAATCTTCATATATAAATATATGTTATTTTTTCCACAGGGCAAATATCAGAAACGACGTTATCAAGCTTCTAATTGGGTGACTACCCAACTTCTTGACATGGATTATCAAGTGGCCCAATCAACGATGTTTAGGAAACTGTTTTTATATATTTCTGGTAATAACACAAGAGGTGAGTTTAATAGACTACATATACAGTAGTATACACTACGTTAGTTTTGAGTAGGACATATAATTGCTGTCATTAATTCCTCTTCAACTAGTTGACCATCATGGTGACATGGTCATGTGCTCTAGTGTTATGACATGCACCCCATAGCCATCATTTTTATTTGGATTATTTGATGCACTCAAAACAATGATTTGCCTTTGTCCACCTATATTAACACCCCCCCCCCCAAAAAAAAAACAAAAAAAAAAACATTTACTCATTGACAGATTTTTACAAAACAATTTGTTATTTTTCTAAAACCCATGGGGGTTAAAAGTAATTGATAATCTTGAAATTATTTTATGTGTATGGTCCTTTTCCAATTACTCATTGACAGATTTTTACAAAATAATTTGTTATTTTTCTAAAAACCCATGGGGGTTAAAAGTAAAAGATAATCTTGAAATTATTTTGTGTGTATGGTCCTTTTTCAATCTTTGTGTATTGATAATTATGAAAACTGTATGTAGCATTTTTGTCATTTTGTTAACCAGGTGAAAAGATAGCAATGACATCACCAGTTATAACCAGATTAATACCAGGACCAGGTCCAGCTTGTGAAAGTAACTTCACTATGTCTTTCTATATCTCCAATACTGTAGCCAACCCACCGACCCCAACAGACACCACAGTAAAGCTAACTCAATTACCAGCGCTTGTCGCTTATGTTAGGTAAGTGACAAGCATCAATACTTATGGCGAAATGGAAGATGGCTTTTATCATTTTGTATACGCCATGTATATTCAGTTAACCATAGTGACAAATATAATTTATATATTTACAGGTCTTTCCCTGGTTTTGCAACTTCTGATCTATGGGTACAAGAAGCCACTCAGCTAGCCCAAGACTTGAATGGAAAATCATTTAATAGTGCGTACTTCTACACTGCTGGCTATGATGGCCCATTTAGAGTAGTGAATCGACATAACGAAGTCTGGTTTTTAGCTGAAAACGCCAAACCCAAAACATCTACGGTTGTTGGTTGAATAAAAATAATGTTAAACCCCCATTTAAATAGCAATTGTTTTACATTTTTATACGCCCATATTTAAGTGTGACCGAATTATGTCGTCATCCTGTCCTACAGTTTTCAACGGAGTCCTTTCAAATTTGGTGTGAAGCATTGTGGTCAAGAAATGACAAACCTTATCGATATTCGGTGTTCTACGACTTGCTGCTCCGAACTCATCCCTCTTTCTAAACGCGAAAGAAGCTACATTTTTTAACTTTTTTTTCAAATTTGGTTGTACGCATCAATTGTGGTCATGAGATAATGAACCTTATTGATTTCCAGAACTTTCCCTTCCGGAGTAATTCCCTTTACGTGAATGCGATGGGTAATGCTAACTAGCCCTCGGGTTCACTAGTACGCAGGTGCACTAGTCCGCCGATATCTATTGATGATCACATGTAAATGCACACTCGTAAGAGAGAGAGAGAGAGAGAGAGAAATGGGGTTTAACGTCCACTCGACACAAACTAGGTCATTTCGGGACTAACATATGGTTTAATTTTATTTCAATAATTCGCTTGCGCGTAGGGGTCTTTAGCAGTGGGAGGAAACCGGAGGACCCGGAGAAAACCCACGAGGCTGGACAGGCGACCCTACTCCTTGGCACGTACAACCGGGGATTCGAAACCACGCCAGTTGACTCAATGACAGGCCTTATGATATAGCACGCACGTGCTAAGCATTCGGCCACCCCCCCCCCCCCCCCCCCACACACACACTCGTAAGGAATTCTGACAATAATACTAACGCGCCCACCCTGCCAATGAAATATAATACACGGACCCTACAATGCAATGTAATGCACCAACCCTGACAACAGTATGTACGCAACGCGCCCACAATGACAATGGTATGTAACCATTTTTCCTAGTATTGATTGAATTCAATATAAGAGTATAGGCCGGTAGCGCCACTATCCGGGCAGAGTTTCCCTCATATTACATTGTACAGTAGGACGTTTCATATTGTTTACTGTTCCTACTTTGATGCGCCAATCGGACTATTGAAGATAAGCATACACTATGCAGAGTGCTATGGCGGAAATTTGCTAGGGACAGTGGCATTTCTCTATCGAATTCCAACTGTGATGGGTTCTTTTATGTACACGCCAATGTGTACACAGGGGGTTGTGTTTTGTCCGATCTACACAGTATACAACTATAGACACCGTTCTTTGTCAAGCCCTTCGTCCTGCACTTTCGAAAGGGGGCAGACAAGCTGCAAAATCCTGGGGAACTTACGTCACCAACACCAGGTTCAGTGTACATAATCCATAATCAAACTGTGTATTGAGAGGAAGATGGTCGACAACCCGGCATCACGACATTTTAACAGGACAATACGACAGGACACAATACGGGGTTAAAATGTCGTGACGTCGGGTTGTCGTGTGTCGGGTTAAAATGTCGTGAAGGGCGACACCACGATGTCACGACATGATACGAATCAGCCATCATACCTGCTGTTTTGGGTTTTTTTTATACCCATATTTATAGTATTTATTATAGCGACTGTTACACAATTGAGGAAATATCAATTAACCTTCCTTACATTAGCAATCTTATCAGATTAACAGAAGACGAGTAACAGCTGTAACAGCTGGCACTGACTTGACACGGCGAACAGCTGTGCGAATGTCATTAAGCATCACAGCTGACCCGAGTTACGCAAGGTCTTGGAATGATAAAGCAACCTGTACAGGAAGCTTATAATCTGTTTATTACATAATGACCAGCTGTAATCTCTGGCCATAATTGAATCTGAAATATAATACCTGGCCATAGCAGATTGGTCAATGACTATCTGTCCGATCGTGGCATCCACCCACCCCAGACTAATACTGACCAATCAGGTCACGGTGCATGGGTGTGGTTTCCAAATTCAAGGCTGGACCTCGATCCGGCCCAGTAATATATAAATTCAAACTAAATGTTTTACGGGACAATCCGGCCCAGAGAGAGGTCCGGACAGGACACGAGAGCGGAGGCCATGGGTGCCTCGGCTCGGCACGAGACGGAACGAAAAGCCAGCCCAGAGAGCCGAGCTGGGAACAAGACTGCTACTAGATGAAACACCTGTGACTTAAGTATTGTAGTACGATTATTGTAAATATGTTTATAGCAGAATAAAAAAGTATTGTATGAACCTGAAACTAGTCTTGTCATCCGAACCTGATTTAAAGACCAATACTGTCACATATAAACCCATTATTAATATTAGGGGTATCACAAAAAAAACCTCCCTCCCGTAAATATCGGGGCATACCATATTAACATTAGGGGTATCACAAATAAAATTCTCTCCCGTAAATATCGGGGCATCCCATTAACATTTGGGGTAATAGACACATATAGACAAAACAACAACAAAAAAAATTAGAGATAAACGCGTTAAGAGCGTGTCCGCGAGAGCACCATGCAGGGGGTGATAACCCTTGGGTCAGGGATTTGGACCAAATTTTTTCTGTGAGATGGGTTAGTACCCAGATACATCCCCACAAAATATTAAATTGATTCAGTTGATACTGACCTGGAAAATTGGAAAAGTATTTTTTAATCGAAAAATAAGCCAAAAATAGGCAATTTTGGATCCAAATTTGAATGACCTGCTATTCGGACAATAATTGATTAGGATAGACAAAATTTTGGGCATTAGTAGGACCACTCAGGTTCCTCCTACACACTGATTTTGAAGTTTCTACTGCTTATGCTAACTTGGTACTGGCCGGATACCCAACTCTCTCTGAAAATTGAATTTAATGAAAACCAATGTTTAAGAGACTATAGCTCGTTCTTTGCAGGGACTAGGACCGAAGTTGAATGTTACCCACAACTAGCAACCTTCCTACTAACAAAATAAAAAATAAAAATGACCGGAACAGTCATAATAAAAACAGGAGAAATATATTAAAAACACCAAAAATTAGGATAAAATGTCCCGTCTATCAATACCCCAGATGAAGTATATGTATGGACATCTTTACAAATTTAATATATTCCATTTAGTTGTTAGCAAGGATGATTTACACATGAGAGGAACAAAGTAAAATGAGATTTAAAGTCCACTGGACACAAACTAGGTCATTTTGGGACTAGCATAATATGGTGATGCATACTGTATCTATGGACATCATCACAAAGTTAATATATTCGTTAGCAAGGGTGATTTTGACTTAAGAGAGAGAAATGGAGTTTAAGGTCCACTCAACACAAACTAGGTCATTTTGTGACTAACATATGGTACAATTTCACTTCAATAATACACTTGTGGGAAAAGAGAATATCCATGAGGTTGAACAAACAACACCACACCATGTCACCGGTATGCTGTCACACCAATTAACTCAATGACAGACCTTAGGATCTAAAGTCTATGTGTTAGACCAGCGACAAGTTTCATGAATGTCCAATGCAATTTAAACAGAACAAATCGTCTTCTATAAATATGATATAATGAAAGGTGAAATATGATACACGATTCAGTGTAAGCATATTTTAGCTCTTGGGTAAAAGAAGTGTTTCGGAGGGATGTACTTGTAACAGGTTTTAAGGACGAGGGGATTGTAGATGATCCAGTGACAGTAAGTCGTAGTCACACAATCAGCAAGACGACCATACAACACCTTTTCTGCCAATGTTCCTTGTGCCAAATAGGTTATTTTGGTCAAACATATTTTAGGAATCAGACCAGCTTATTCCCATCTGTATTTAGGAGCCGATCATTGTATGGAAACATTTGGACGTTTTCATGGAGAGGCATTACAGATCGGGAGGCTATGATAATTCCATATTGAAATCCCTGAAGGAGAAGAGGTCAAAAACAGTACTACAAAATAAAACAGTACTCTGTGGTCCAAAAACCTTGAAGGAAGGTCAGAGAGCATTTACACTCGAACGTAGGAATCTAAGTAAGTGAGCACTTCTGCTCGAACGTAGGTATATGTAGGAGTTTGGCACATGCTGTCAACATTATCCTGGAGTGCCATAAATCCTGTTTTGATCTATGCCATGATTCAGAGATTTCAATACCAGACATTAAATGTCCCTACATGAACACTTCTGAATGTTTCTTCTTATGGTTCTTCTTTACATGACTAGTGAACCCCTCTCAACGCGATATAGCTACTGTTTTTTGTAAGAATTTTTTTTTCAAATTTGGATTGAAGCTTTGGGTTAAAGAGAATACGGCCCCTATCAATATTCAGCGTTCTGCGACTTTCCGCTTCAGAGTTATCCACCAGTGGCAGACTGGCCAGATTGTCAGCTTGTCCAATAGCAAGTGGGCCCCTCGGGAAGTGGGCCCCCTTAGACATTAGACAATATATTTAAAATATAAATTATCAAAAAATATATAAATATTAGAAAATAATTATTAGCATGAAAATTATAATTACATATTTTTGTTTCCACTAACATATTGTTGGAAAATTCAATTTATTCATTTTAAAAATTAAATGATAGAAGTGTATTGGTGGGTGGGTCTCCTTTGTCTCATGGCAACCAATATTTTCAGACCCAGTCCGCCACTGTTACCCACCTTTGTCGAACACAAGATACAGTTTTATGGATACACAATTACCGAGTTTAAAACTAAGCCATGTCTCGAAGAGGTTACTCTCGTCTTTATCAAGCCAATAATACGGTTTTTTGAATGTTTTTCTAATTTGGTGGGAAACACTGAGTGAACCCTATTGATATTGGTATTAAGCGTACTGCGACTTTCCATTACTACCCATTGTGATGCCGTATCGATCCAAAGAACTAGCACGCCAAAGTCCATGTCGATCGTACGCGTAAGGTTTTTTCTGAAGAGTGCCGTTGCAAGAAGACGATTACCATGTGTATGCAAACGGTTCCTGGTTATAAAATGTACGCTTTCTGTAAATGTCTATGAAAATATTTTTCCAATCCAGAAAAAAAAAAACGGATCTCGATAGTCCCGTAAAGAGCATGGGTCTTTGTCAAAATTTCGGATCGTATTCCGTTTGTAAATGAGCTTAAGAT